CTCATTCCTGAGCTTGAATACCGTATTGCACATCATTGTGAAAGTGTGATCCATATGGATCACTTCTGAATGTTTATACATCTGCAGTTAATGTAGACTCTCTGAAACCTGCAATTGCTTACTACGGCTGTACTCAACACTCATGTGGAAGATTAGAAACAGTAGTGATGTGAGAATCATCTCGATTGCTATAATGCTACTTCCACTTCCAAATCTCGAACAAGGATCCACTGAGAGGTGTGATAAAGTACATCAATGAATTATACAAAAGGTAACCAAACTACAATCTCTAGCAACTATCTACTTTCGAATTAATTCTCATCCTAATATACCAGGTCACGCTGAAGACTACCTTTTCGGAGAATATTAGTATAAAGTGTTAATTCGAAGGACATTCACAATATCTAGAGTAAACACTTGAATTTTCTTTTCAACAATTGAGGCAAAACCAACTGCTACTATCTAACACTAAACATACACATACTACTGTAAATTCTGATAGTAAGGATTCAAAAATATTATTTCGCACATTTGGGGTCAATATGTGGACAACTACAGAGTTGACAAATTTGTACGGAGATCCAAACTTGCCATCTCGTAGGAAAGGAAATAGGCAGTCATCCTGAATCCACTAACATGGATTGCATTCAGCACCAGAAGACAAATCAGATTATGAAATGTATTAAACTGTAAGACAAATCCAAAACATGAATGCGGAAGAAAGCATAAGGCGCTTGCACTCCAGCCAAACGAAATTCACATCCCAATCTTCTTGGAAGTTCCTTATAATAACCGTGGAGTAAAGTGAAACAAAAACACTAACGTTGGACGTTTCTGAAAATATTTATTCTATTCTGTGATGTGTCTGCGGTTTCCGACGTCACTTTTGCGTACTCGTGAGCATTACTATTTGAACAGTAAAGGGAATCGGTCTTATGAGTTCTTAATCATTCCTTGCTACCGAAGATATGAATTTCATTACATATCTCCTCTCCATTGCTTAAGGATCATGCGTTGCTTCCTGAGAAGGGAGCACACAAGGTGGATAAATCCATTACTCTTCCTGGATCTGAAAGACACATGTTTTGCGAAGTGCGAAGTGTGATCACATGCTTCTATGGCTGCACTATTAGTTCCCGTATTATATGATAAGCGTCATTACATTCAGTCATGGCCAGCTTGCAGTATTAAAATAATTCATAATATCTTAATATCAGGAAAGAACAAGCACAGTGTGGAGGAGATTATTGGGACCACTTGCAATCCTAAACTCAGATATAAAAGACCATCGAAAGGAATGACTAATCACAAGTTGGACAAGCTCCATCTGATCTTTGACCTCAATTCAGCTCGTGAGTTCTATCTCGTTGCTTTGCTCAGGCGTATAGGCTGCTTTCGGATCCTGTTAGCTCAGCAAGTCTCAAAGTTTGGTTTATCGTGTGATTCTTTCTTTGTGTCCAGTCTTAGCGATATTCTGTCGAGCATGCACATCGAATCGTCTTTCTTTCTCTGAACTCCCAAATCATGGCATTGCGCAGGAAGGTGAGTCTGATCAACTTGCGTGATTGGACTTCCTTCGACTGGGTACGAGGTCGAGATCGTCCACTTGTTGACAAGGCCTGGACTGCCTGGGAGGAGTGCAGTTGGCATTGTTCTAGCTACAATGGCTTCAACCAGCCCGAGATCGCTCATCTTGCTTGTGCTAGCGGTGGCAGTAGTTGTTTCTGATGCGCAGTTGCAGCTGTCAGAAACGTTTTATGATGCCACATGTCCACAAGCCGCATCCATAGTCCAACAGAAGGTGGATGCGTTTGTAGATGCCGATCGAGGACTGGCTGCAGCTTTGATGCGACTTCATTTCCACGACTGCTTCGTCCGGGTAAGAGGGATCCACTGTTTTGGAGACGCGGTGGATTCAAGGACCTGCTTAAAAGTTAATGACCTTTCAATACTTAGAGATGGCGTTTTCCCTTCTGAACGACATAATATTGATTGACTTGCAGGGTTGCGATGGGTCCGTCCTTCTCAATTCTACCGACACAATGTTGACTGAGAAAGAAGCATTGCTAAACAAAGGTTCGCTGCGAGGATTCGAGCAGATAGACGAAATAAAGATGGAGCTCGAGTGCGCGTGCCCAGGTGTGGTATCTTGTGCCGATATTTTGGCATTGGTTGCCCGAGACGCCACTGCGAAGGTATGTGGTTTGAAAATTCACATTTCCAGGTATCCACTGCTATCGAAACACTATATAGCAAAGGTTTTAGATAATGTATCTAAAACCTCGTAAGCTTCCAATAAGGATTTACAGAGAAGCAAGATTGTACCAAAAACAAAAGAAGCATCAAGCACGATATTCTCAGATTTTATGTAGAGGCTAACAATGTTTCAGTGCTCGAAAAACGATGGATGACGTTTGTCCTATACACACACGAACTTGCACTCGAAGGTATTCAGAAACAATACGTGATCATTTGCAGGTTGGCGGCACCAGCTGGCCCGTGTTCTTGGGCCGTATAGATGGAGGAGCTTCATTCGCCGATGAGGTCAACAGTAGTTTACCTGAACGTACAGACAACTTCACTCAACTCGTCGCCAGGTTCGCCCGAGTTGGACTCGATGCCAGAGACATGGTTATCCTATCAGGTAACTTGACGAGTGCAAAATTATATCTCTTGTGACGCTTCAGCTACAAAATACGATGTTGTTGATGTTATGACGAATTTGAAGCCCTGCGCGCATAAAACTCGATGTCGGAGTGATAAAATTCATACTTTGTTGTCTTGGGCTTTGTCACATTCTGGGGAAAAACTCGATCAACTCTGAAACACATACATTACCTTAGATATGAATTTAACGTAAAGCGCACACACACACTATTTACTCTTTAGTCTCCATATTCACTTGTCTTTCCTCACAACATTCAATCTCCTGCAGGAGGACACTCTATTGGACAAGTTCACTGCGGCGCATTTTTCGAGCGCCTCTACAACTTCCAGGGACTCAACATCACCGATCCGTCCATGGACCCTGAGTTCGCCGCCATGCTCAAGGTCCAGTGCCCGCCGACCAAGCCCTTCGGATTCATGGCTCTGGACGCCACCAACGGCACCTTCGACTCCGCGTACTACTTGGACCTGCTCACGAACAAGGGCCTGCTGGAGTCCGACGTGGCGCTCTTGAGCGACCCTCTGGGCGTGGAATATGCCATCAGAGCGGTGCAAGATCCCATGGCCTTCCTGAACGAGTTCGGATGGGCCATGATCAAAATGGGCGCCATTCCTGCGCTCGAGCCCTACGGCTGGAGAAGACACTGCGCCTTCGTTGAACCCAAATATTAGTCGAGCCATGCATTGTTTGGAAATTTCCATTTTCTGTAAGTAATTCAGGCTATCGGATGTCACTCCGGGCAGCCTTCAATAAGACGGCTATTGCTTTCAGAACTAGGCAATTAGTCAAGAAAATTGTACATCTGTGGTTCACCTTGGATCATGTTCCTATATCACATGTGTAGCTATAGGGTCAGAAAACACTAGTGGTGGATGTAGATACAATTGAATTAGATGAATCTCATTCTTTGATTTATTCCGAGGCCAAGCTTGTAACTACTCTTCACTGGGAAATAAATCCAATAACCATTGATTCTCACACGATGACTATGCAGTACATGTGAAAAAGCCTCCAGTTATTTATTTAATGTTGATTTATAAATATTCATCCTTATATTCGTCAGTTCTTATTGACACAACTTAGGGTTTAGTAAAATTACTAGATTCACAACCCCAAATTGGGTTCTTCTGAAGTTATCCCAGGATGTTTGCATAGCAGATCAAACAAGAAAAATTATGTTGACATTACACACGGGTTCTGCCTGAATAGTCAAATTATAATTTCTTCTCATTTACACTGTTTCAAAATTTTAAGAAGATAGTGGCTGAAGTGTATTGGAATGCCGTTCATAGTTTTATACCGCAAAGGTCACTACAGTTGAAGATAGAAGGATATTCATTCTTACATTATTTCAGAAAAATGTTATAAATTAGGTCATTTCACTCTATATCATTATTAAATCAATCGTATAGTTTCATGATATTAATAATAATATTAATATAATATTTATAATAATAAAAGTTAATGATAAAAATAATATCATGAAGTATTGAAATTGGTATGGATCGACTTTTTTCTAATGCATTTCATTTTTGAACTGCTCTTAAAGCTTTTTTTTCTTTCTAATATCAATATAGTACCAAATCATATGAATCATAAATCATCTTTGAACAGAAAAGATATTATTTGGAAAATTTTGATTTTGATGCTGCAATTAAACGGTAAACATATTACTTAAGAAATCTCTTTGTCAATAGATTGTACGAAATTTTGGATTTTTTATCAATATTATTGGGTTCATTTTCCCAAAAAAACCTATAACTTCTACTTATAAATGAAGAAAGTCATTGAATATAAGATTTAATTATTTTGATATATCATAACTGGAATTTATTTTGTAATCGTGAATGATTAGCCACTGATATAGAAAAAAAAATACTGCTTGATAATTGGTTAATTTTTAATCAATTCATATCAAAATATCATTCCATTTAAAATTTCTTGGAAAAAAGAAAAGTGAAAAATGTTAAATCAAAATGCGGTAAAATTAATTCTTCTTAAATAATGATATAAGATGTATGAGTATGAGCTGAAGTCAAAAACATTCAAATAATCTTTCAGTTCATGATGGATAAATTTTTAACACCTACTTACGCTGATACTGGCTTATAAAAATAGAATAATTTTATCTTGAATAGTAATGAAGTGTTAAATTGCTTCTGATAATTCTGGGAAACAAAATTAAAGTAGAAAAATTTTAGTTAATTTCAAAAGTTAAATTAAAGAAATCTAAATCATCATAATTATAAAAAAATAGAAGGAAGATGTGATTTTTTTTTTCATCACATAGCTTAATAAATAGAGTGTAATAGTTACAAAATTTACTCGCTCGTCACCAATCAGAGTGGCGCAGCGGAAGCGTGGTGGGCCCATAACCCACAGGCCCCAAGATCGAAACTTGGCTCTGATACTCGCACAGAGCTTCCTTTTCGAGGACACAATCCTCCATACCGTCTTTTGTAGAGAAAATCGGTAATAGTGGATGCTAAATTCTCCTAAATTGGATTTTTCTTTCTTTGTATTTGTGTCTTCATGTCTTCTATCATAGTAGAACGCGTTAGATTTCAGTTTGCAGAGAATGACATGTTGTTGACATGAAACTCATTAACAATAACATCATCAACAAGTATAAACCAGATTATTTATTGTCGAGATCTTCTAAAGGTTAGAATTGGTATTAGAAATCCAAGCACACCCTTCAAATAAACATGTGTTGTTGATTGACATATCATTAACTAGATTAGAGTCTCGATGAAAAAGAAATTTTAATCTAGACTGAATTTGTAGGGAGCAGTTTGATTGCCGTATGTAAAATAAATATCTTTGAGATGAGAGATGTGATTGATAGAAAGATATGATAAAGTTGTTATGATGAGAAAGAATAAAGATAATCATTTTCAACATTAAGGTAATACCATCTGTCACTTTTCCATGGCTTATTTGTTTTATCCAGAATAATGGACAAGTACAGGGTACCGAATTATTCATTGGATATTAACTAAGATGAGTCATATAGATATAGATTTCAAAAGGTACATCAACTTGACATTAAATCAAATATTATTTTAAATAAACTACTTATATGAATATGAGGATATTTTTAAATAGCTTGAGGCATTTGTGGAAAAACATTAAGAATCATATTATTGTAAACATTATGAAAAAGTGACTTCTACAGGAGCTAAAATCAGTGATATATGTCTTATTGTTTTAGGCATGTATCTTTCATTATGGATGGAATTAGTAATTATTTTTAGAGAAGTATAGGATGTTAGTAGTAATCTCAGGTTTTGATTCAACTCAAATTAGGTTAACCCCAATATATTAGATTGTCAAGATATAAAAATACTCACAGAATCTCTCGGTAACACAAAGCTAGGGTTAAAATATAAAGTCAAATGTGTTACTATAGACGTAATATCAATTAGGTAGGTTAACACAGTTTTCTCAATGACAAATCTTAGTGCGAGATCTGTTTACATGTTCAATGTCACTAATGGATACTTGATTCGTATATATAGTTTGTATTAAGATAAATCAAGAAGTAGATGATGCGAACGCAAAGGCTATCAAGATCTATTGGAAATAGTTGTATGAAGTGCAGAAGAAGAGAATATAACATCAGCCAAGCTGGATAAAGTTAAGCAAGACATGAATTGATATATCTATGGTTGTAATGGATTGATTGATTCTAGTAGGTTCACTTAAATCTAACGTGAAATTCATGAGAGAATATTTGTCAAAATGAAGAAGCATAGTACATAAAGTAGATTTTGAATCCAAACCAAATGTATGTAATATACTGTTGGAGAAAATATGAAATATATGGTAAGTTCTTTAGCTTGCTAATTAGTTGGAGACAAGCATTAGCTAGTTGAAATGAAATTGGTGTTGTTGTGCGAATACACATCGTCATCATCCAACATATATTGTTTACAAACCATACATACACAAAAATCATAAACTAGAGCATACACCAACACAAGTGTATCACAATTCATAGATTTTGAAGAAGAACGATTAGTTTTGTGAGTAAAAATCCGTGAACAAAGTATTGTAATAAAACACAAAATGAAAAATCACAGACAAACTAGCCAAACTCACTCCACAACTAAAAGAATTAAGGTTGATGGTAATGAGAATCTCGATATTCAGCGTCGGGAGATAGTCCCGACGCTGAAGTTAGCCGTTATTCAAACCACACAAGATGATATACCCTTCAGGAGGGTGGATCTCACCAAGAGTCACCCTCAAACCCTAATATGCAGGGAACCACATCCAAATAGGTATGTAGTCCCATCGCACACTATATATCTTGGCGAACCTACATATGGTCATGACAATGTAGATGGTTGCAGGATTAATCTATGAGTTGGATCTTTATCGAATGATAACATGGAAGTGATCTGATCATAAATTGGATAGCAACATAGAAGCAAATTGAAACTTACACAATTTCTAAGATGATGGAGAGTGAAGATCGATTCTCAGATGGAGAAAGCGTAAAAAATATAGAGATTGCATACTTTGATATCTCCTGCACCAAGAGACATGAATCAAGTTTGTCAAGACTCAAAATGATGATGATTACGGAATATCAAATTTATCTACACCAAATGGTTCAATCCTCGTGAATGAAATGAGTCGCACTTTTACACTTCTAGCCAGCTTTCCCTTGGATCTAAAGTTAAAACGCTAATCAAATCAAGGAGTCATAACAAACTGAAGAGTGCAGAACATTCAGTCCAAAGCAAGTAATAGTAACTTGGAACGTAACAACTGAAGGTTTAAAATTACAGATTTTACTTAACTTTTGGATGATAATATATACAATAAAATTGACCCAAGGTGAATGATCGGCAAACTTAAGGATTGTTAGTTCACGAACTAAGACTTTGAAGCTTCCACGCTTGTTTCTTATTTCATAATTGAAACTCTAGGCTACATTTCAGCTCCTTAAATTACGAACAAAGTGTCACCGTCCCAGGAGAATTTGCTGAGTCATGACTGTACACTCTCAATGTACGCATTAGACAGGCTGAGATAGCACTTTGAATAGATATCATCATGATTTCACTTCCACTTAATGACCAACAAATGGTCAAGAGAAGTTTTCCACAAGTCACTGCATTGGAGGTCTTAAGCGTTCTATGGAGGCCACACGCTCCATCTTCCCACCTTCATCTGACGGTCAATCCATCTTCATTGCGCAAGTTGATTTACATAGGGCACCCGACGTCGATAAGACGAAGCTGATGTGGACCATTCAACTACAGCAGTGCTACTGATGCGCAATCGAGCAAATTACTCATTTCGCCGACATATCGCTCAAAACTTAATACTGAATGGCAAAGTAATTGTATCCAGCAAAGGAAGAAAAAAATCATTCTTTGATAATTTCCTCAGATTAAAACCTCTTGTCGCCAGCGTTCGAGGAGAGGACAAATGATTTGAGGAGCTCAGTGTAATATGGGTCCACGACAAGAGCAAGCACAACCATGCCACGTGGATAGGAGCAGCCACCTCATCATCATCGGCCTTCAACCCTAAACCCGTATCTGCATCACCTTCTACCGGCAACCGGTCAAACCAGTCGGAAAAACTCCAGCATTGGTTTTTCGGATGTGCGATATTCTTGCTAGTTTATGCTTAGCCTCGTTTACATTCAGAAATGATAAAAAATTCTACTTCCAAATCCGGTCTGTCGAAAGTCCAGCTTGAGATCTTTGCCATAGGGCAAAAATGTCCCTTTCCTAGCCTCCAGGTCACAATGACAGTTTTGGAAGATTCATCTTTTTCCAAGCTTTGGAGCTCATGTTGAAACCCTGTAGAGTGGGGCATTAGGGGTAGTTTTGAACGCAACTGCCTAATTACTGTCAGCGGCCGAGAAAGAAGAAGCGCCTGCAACTCTCGCCGTACGGGTTTAGTCTACCGCGTTGAGGTTTGTCCCAACGTGGTAGTACTCATGTTGGTTGGTGTTCACCCGCGTGATATACGACTTTTTTCTGTAACAAGATTTACGATCTTTAGAATATAAGAATAGAACTATTTATGAAAATTTTGATATTGGAAAAAATTATTAAAACTAGAAAAAATCTATATAAATAATTTCATAATGATTGATAAGATAAACGAACCGGAGGACACATCACTGATGTGTCATCACTAGTATGATATCACTGATATGGAGATCACAAAAAGCCGTATAGGGTTAGCTCCGTTATCATCACCATTGAACATATATGTTCATCTTAACAATTAAAATTTAACCCACAGCATGATACGAAAACTTCAAAAGAACAGCAAGTACGTTGATGTCTCATTATATTTTAGTAGATCATAATCTCTACTTGGTTGTAGTAAAAAACACAAAGAAACCATTAATTTTTTTCGATTTTTATCATGTTCTGCTAACGGATTTAGTGATTTTTTCCACTACATATTTCATGATTTGATTCTATGAAAGCTAATTAAAAACTATGAAATTCAAATAGAAAATGGTGACAATTTTTTTTATACTACAGTTTTGATTATCATAATTTTTTCATCTAAAAATGGATAAAAGGGTTGTGATTTTGTGAATGGAGGTGACATATAATCAAATAATATGTTATCACTGTTTTATTTATAAGCCATGACTCTCTTTACACTCATAGTGATGAATAGACATAGTTGTACGTCAAGTAGCAAGTCGCTATCAACCATTTTCCTTGTAAGGAGTATAGATTAATATTAAAAAATGAGCAAAGAATATAATAAGACTATAAGGAATATAGATCATCACATCAACATTTTTAACTCCAAGTATCATATATGTAATGCCGAATAATTTTTATCTTATTCAGTATATATCATGAAAATGGCTAAATTTCAACTTTTTGTCTATTATTTGGGCAAGCAAATGTTGCAAGAGGAATCTATACGTGCTCACAATTAGAGGTTAAAATTTACAACATTGTTATTGAGATTTGGTTGAATTGCAATGGTGTACAATAATTGGGAAGTTTAGGAAAACAACACAAGAATTTCATAATTTATCTATTGAGTATTGATGAGTAGATTATCTACTCTTGAGGTAATTTATATTCACCAATGGATTAAAGAATTACATCGAAGTTGTTTCAACATTAGCCAAACTAGCTACTATGTTTTGAGCCGATAGACTCCACAATTATCATGGATGTGCTTGTTGCATATAGTGTAGGAACAAACTATATCATTGATGTTTTCAAGCATATTTTATCACTCTAGTGGCTTGAAGAGATTGTTTAATATGCTTAGTTCGGTGTCAATACACATGATATGAATCATATTTATTACATCATAGTAGATTTCGGCTACAGCTAACCTTGATAATGTCACCCTTGTTAATATAACACCTCGATATTGTCACCTAAAAGTTTGAAACCGATGCTCCTAGTGTAAAACTTGCTCGTTATTATTGCTATGACCCTTCATAATGTCATTATTTTTTTCCAAAATCTGAAATCTAAGTGTGGTAATATCAAGTATGGATGGATTGTATGTGACAGTTAGATGGAAAGAATTGTAGTAGCAGAAAGGTCATGAGCCGCCTATGTGATAAATGAAATGCTATTTAGAGGGTCATGGACCGCCCCCTTGCATCAACCTTGAACATTGTTGATGATTCAAAATATCAGTTTTGTGGCCATTTGCTAGGTCAGCATTGTGTCTTTTCCGTTTATCTAAGGAATGAGTACTCACACTGCATTGCACTCAAATAAAGACATAGTGTTTCACAATCGTAGAAAGTTGTCATTGCTTAGGTACCTGGTTTGATACATCTTGTTGTTGCTTGGATCTTACACAAAATTAAAAGGGAGTTTTTGACGGCGCTTGCTTAGATCAGCATTGTTTGAATTTGTTTCACTTTCGGCACTTGCAATCGGAGCAACAAGAAGGCCAGCTTGAGCAGACATGCAACTCCAGCATCCGAAGGTCCTGCATGAGTGGACACACTGTCGCAACTACACTAAGTGAGGATTGAAGCTCACTTTCAATTCTAACTTATAATGTGTCCCATTTGTGTGAGGAATTTCAGTTCTTTTCTGGATCATGAGCATGGTGGGAGCACATCACTAGGATGTTATCAGGATTGATGGTCTTGATAGTTTTGATTTCTGCTGCTTTTGGTGGGTTGATCTAGTTTGAAGTTCGTAATTTCAAGCTCGTTTCTTTGATGTGGAAGCTCGGTTTCCTTTGTGAAGATGGTTGTTTGGAATATGGTTATGGGGGTGAGCGTGCTTCTGGATGAGTAGGAGTGTTGTGTGATTTTTGTTCCTGTTTTCTTGCTGTGCTTGACGATTTCAATTCAGTTTAAAGTTCTATGTTTCAGAATTTCTAGGAGGTATGAGTCGATGTGTTATGTGGAGATCGCTTTCGTGTTCTTTTGAGCATCGGCATGTTAGTGCATTTGTAGGAGGTTGGACTCAGTTCTGAGTTCTCAATTTTGGTAGGCCAATCAGCAAGGATATCAAAATCCTCGTAGTTATCCACTTGCCTCCGCCTAGAAAACCAACAATCAAACCTCGGAATCTACAGTGTGCTACATGTTTTGATTGCATTACCAGTTTTGGTTGAATTTATGATGACACATGAATAAAGTTGTTGCTGAAACAATCGAATGCATCAGTTTTGCTCCATTATCACGATGACTTATATTGAGTGCTCATTTTGTAGATTGGTGTGCCAGATACAGGTACTTTCAATGGCAAGTAAATTCACGTGCAAAAGGATGAATTTATCAACTTATGATAAGAAGAAAATCTATGAAGTCCACAAAACTCATCCTAGTTTGAAACAAGAAGACCTTGCACAATATATGATGGACCAACATAAATTCAGACTTGTGAATCGGACCACTATTTCCAAGATTCTTCGTGGAAAAAAGAAGTGACTGAATGTAGTACATATGTGTGTGAAGGCAATGCACGACGTGCTCAAGTTGAATTTTGGTTTCATGATTTGGACAAGTTAGGACACGAAGGGAAGTTATAACTGATGACGTCATTATGCACAAGGCTATGGTATTGAAAAATTCATTTGACATATGCAACACTAAGTTCAAGCTTTCTCATGGATGGTTGCAAAATTTCAAAACTCGACATGAAATTATGTTATTATTTGCATGGAGAAAGTGGAGATGCACATGAGGTTGGAGTTGCATTGGCCATGGCAAAGATCCCATTCAAATTGAAGAAATATGATCCAGAAGACATCTTCAATTTTAATGAGACATTTTACCGTTGATTGGGAGTTTTGAGGCAGGGTTTTTTGGTCGTTTTCTTGGTTCAAGGGAAGTGGTTGTAGTCACAACCACTTGTGTTTCATTATCTTCTATTGACTCTTGTATTGCATTTTATGAAATCACATTGTGTGCCAGTGCTTGCTATATAAAAATTGCTCCTTGGATTTTTTTGGAACTCTTTGACTTTCCTTGAGGTTGGTCAAGCTTTGAGCCACCCTAGCCCATTGAGTGCTCTACCTCAGGCCATTTACTTTGATACGCTCTACCTCAATAGATTTCGCGGAGTACCACCTATATAAAATCCTGATTAGTTGGATAGGTAGGACTTTTATGTCTTTCCCCCCCTAAGAACCGCACGTGCAAGTTTTCCCGCAAACGGCTCAAATGACAAAGAGGAAGTGTATTACAAAGCCTCTCCTAGCAAGCCTTTGAATATTGGTGTAATCATCTTTAGTTAGTTTGAACTAAAATAGAGGTTACTCTAAATGTTGATATAGATATTTTAATGTGCACTAGTCATAGCTGTCACGTCAACGATCCGCGCGCTTGGTAGGTACAGAGTGTATATGTTAGTTGACAGTGACACGTTAACAATCGGTGTGCTTGTAGGTAAGGATTGAATGTGTTAGTTAGTGTTGTACATTTAACATCACTAAAACAATGTGACATTAAAAACTTCTTTGTTTCTAATGAGAATTCTCTATTGGATCTCAATGACACATTATGATGTGCTCTTGTTGTCATTCATAGTTTTGAATTACATTTTACATTCAAGAACTTTGAAGTATTACATTTGTTATTTTCTTTTTTACATTGTAATTTTATTTTGATTTGTTACTTTTTTTTTGATAATATCACATTATGCACAAATCTTCAAAATGTTGCATTACCAAAAACGTCACACCTTGTTTATATCACACTTTATGGTGAAACAGAGGTTGTGATATTATTAAGGTTAGCGTGTGCTGTCATTTCCGGTTCGAGAGATACGGTGAGTCTGTCAATTTTACCTTGGACTTAGCGTTCACGTTTAAGAACCATACTTTCCCCGCAATTTTTGACTTACCTCTCGTGACGATAGAGAGTGCACTCTTTTCACGATCACGTGTATGGTGTAGAAGTAGAATAATGCGAAGTAATGGGAAAATGAGCAATTCACCTCCAGAAAATTACTCGCCAGTTGATATACATATAAAAAAAATTGTATAGAAGCAGAAGAAAATAATATGTTTTTTCAAAGTATTATTTCGTATAAAGTAATGTCATCGTATCATCAGAAATATAATAATGAAGACAAATAAATTATATATCTAAAATTATGGTATGAGGTTTAAAAAACTAGTCAACCGATGATATGCATGGCCAATTGTAGATTTTTACAGTAGTATCCCCTCTCTATATGTGTATATGCTGGGCTTGGATGTTTCACACACCTTGGCATTGAATTCTTGTCTTCACTTTCTGATCGCCTCTCGTGACAGCGCAAAGCGCAGAATCAGATTCGAAACTTGGAGAAATTCTTCGGCTTGCTGGTGTCTGCCACCGAGACATTCGCAACATCCTGTGCGGTAGGAATTGCGTGCCTGGTACACTCCTCCACTCGGTTCAAGATGCAATTTGCACAGAGGTGAGACCGAAGTACTAGAGAGAGGGAGAGAGAGGACCAGATGGACGGCAAGAGGGGCATCAGAAAGAACGATCAGGCGATCCTGCGGATCAACCTGAATCAGTGAGATGAGGTCAATGTGTGTGAAATAGTTGTTGTTGATGTATGTTGGACTTTGGGGGCCAAAGCGAAGTATCTGAAGCGTCGAGATGTGCGAGGTTGGACCCATTCAGAAGGCCCAGTCCATTCCATGGCATGCCATGCCATGGCACGGAAGGAAAGACAGACAGACTGTGGGGCATCGGGCATCGGCCGCTTTCTGTGCAAGCGGACAAGACCTCCGTCACGAAACAGGACAATCGTGGATCTTGACTGTGTCTCCTCCTCCTCCTCCTCCTCCCTAAAGCTCCGCCTCTAACGCAGTCAGTCGCCTCCCTCCCGTCTAGAACGTTCGGCCTCTCGTCGCGCGGGGCAAACGGCCGTTTTGTCACTTGCCTGAAACTCCCGTCAATTTGCTCATCTACCTTCCCTCCTTCCCATCCACGCACGTCTCCATCGCTGATTACCGTCAGTCAGTCTGTCGGTCGGTCGAGGGCGTAACTCGGATAATTAAGCTGCCTCTAGCGCACCATCGTTACTCTGCCGCTGCTCGAGTCTCCTTGCGCTTCATCGCATCGCACAGTCTCGCTTCTGTTCCCGCGGGCTCCGTCATCGCTCTCGTCGTGCGTTGACGTTGCCCATCACTGCAGGCAGCCGCAGCAAGCGGGTCAGTTGAGGGGCCGAGAATTCGATTGCGGCATTCGGTCCGACGGAGTGAGCTTGTAGGGAGGGGAGGGAAGGAAGGCTTCGATTTGGTATTGAGCGGCCTGGGCTGTTGGAGTTCCGAGAGCTGGTTCGGTGGAAGGAGGAGGAGGAGGGAGTTTTTCATCTTTGCAAAATTGCTTTCTTGCATTTTGATTACCGTGCTGCGTGCGTGTGCAAGCGCTGCGGGGGCCAGTCGTAATCTCTCTTTCTCGTGAGCACATCTTGCCGCCGTTTGGATGTTGGGTCTCGCATTGCGGGGGATCATTGGCTTTTTCCGGTTGGTTTTCGTCGTCCAACGGACTCTTTTGTTGGTTGTTGTACCTCCGAGGAAAGCAGTTTTTGCCTTCTTTCAGTGGGTTTATGGTATGGGGAGTCGGTAGGTTCTGACTGTTGCGAGGTGTCATCGGAATCTTACATTTGGTGCGAGAGCGTAGGAGACGCGGTGTAATGATCTTTATCTGGTTCGTGGGTGACAGCGTGTAGGATTTCGGGAGTATGGCGGAGGAACTCGGGAGGAAAGCAGATAAAGCATTTGTGGACGAGGAGTATGAAACATCTGTGCAATTGTACAGCGATGCCTTACAATTGAATCCATCTGATGCTGTCCTGTTCGCCAGTCGTGCCCAAGCGTACTTGAAATTGGACCGCTACATGGGTGAGCATAAATCGACCCCAATCTTAGCTCACGAACGGCGATTGACTCTTCCGAGGGTGGATCATCTTCGGAAACTGTCGGTGGCGTGAAGTATGGAAACGGGGAAGATTGTCGACATTAGTTAAAAATGGTTTTACGATGATACCAACCAGATTTTTCAAACTAACAGATCATCGTTTGGTGATGGTGGACTTTTTGCGAAAATTGTGACATAATTTCCTCCTGGTTTGAAACGGCTACTGGACGGTGGACCGCAAATGTGCCCCCTTACTCGTACATGCGGGCAATTCTGCCTTTACGAGTACTCATCGATGTTTTTGGCGGGGATGAGTGGATCGTCAACAGTTTAGAAATCTGCAACTAGCATCGTTAGTGACATTTTTGTTTGGAAGGTTTTGTATCTACTGGGAAAATTTGTGGAGGAATTATCGGCTTATTGGATGTCAAATGGAAAGGAAGCAGTGACGGCCTAAAAGCGGAAAAGAACCACCTTGGCTCTTTGTTAGGGAGAGATTATCGCATTTAATCGGACTGATGTCGAAGGAGAAAAAATTGCCGGTCAAAGCAGGGGAATGTTACTGAATGATTGAGAGGAGCTGATGGGGGTACTAAAGCTAGATAGAGATAGGTATAGAAGGATGACCAAAAGTTGAGTGCCTACGAGCTCATGGAGATGTGGACAGTGGCTGCAGCCTGACTGAGAAGAATCGACGCCTGAAGATATCGCTTATTACTAACTTTTATGTAAGGTGCAGGAACTAAATCGTGTCGCCATAACAAAAGTCTGACATACTTCTTCCGTGTTGTGCAGATGCCATTTCCGATACCAATAAAGCTATTGAACTTAATCCAAACTTGCCTAAAGCTTATCTCCGTAAGGGGTGAGTATTCTCTTGTTGGTCTTGAAATAATTACCTCTTGGGTATCCAATACTGTCGAATTTGCCAGTTCAAATGATTCAGTTGCTCTTATCAAACTCTTATCAAACTTTTTATTTTTTAAAGTGAAAATCTGTCATTGTGGTCTCTCATCCGGACGCATTGTGTGGTCACAGAGTAGCTTGTTTCAATTTGGAGGAATATCAAACTGCGAAAGCTGCATTCGAGGCTGGTCTACAGAGGGATCCGAACAATCCACAACTGAAAAACAAGATTCGAGAATGCGAAGCTAAGTTGATAGGTACGCAGCAGTCAGGAAGTACACTAGCGTGAGTATATGGCTGAGCGAAGTAGATTGTTAAATGGTTGCCTAAACCAGTGTGAGCAATGTCAGAAGAATCTAAGAATTTCTTTGGTGTGTTTGCCAAGCAGCCGGAAAGAGTAGTCTTTTCCTCTATACGGATTTGTATGTATTGCCGTGGAGGTTGCCCCCATGGGATCATGGAGAAAAAAAACCGTAAGCGGAAATTAGGCTTTAAGGAGAAAAGTTGAACTATTTCAACCGAAAACTGTGTAGGTTCAAAGAAACTAGTACCGGTTGCGGGAAGTTATGTCTTGAGCGTGTGATTATGATGTTGTATTTCCACCTACCTATATTTAACAGAAGAAGCTTCTGGAGATCAACAAAGTGGATTGAAAACGCCTAAGCCATTGAGTGAAAACCCTACGCCGATGGAAACTGTCAAGGATGGTGACGTGGAAGCTACGCCTATGGAAACTGCAAATGGCGGGGAAGAGACAGCATCACCTGCCGCCGTCCAGACTCCTCCCCCTCCTGCTCCACCTAGATACAGGTTAGCTGTATATGTCCACCTGTGAGTCAGCACGTCAGAGGATCGCTGTCTATGCGCCTATATAACTTCAGCTTTGAAGGTTTTCGTGAACGCAGTAGGCCTAACGGCGCTCTCAGTGACATACTAACACGATGCGGGACATTTATCTGGCAGGCATGAATTTTATCAAACATCAGATACAGTTGTGGTCACTGTCTTTGCCAAAAACATTCAAGCGGACCAACTTGAAATCCAGTTTGGAGAACAAATTGTAGGTTTCGCTTCTTCCTCTATTGCCCTTCTTCGCTACTTCGCTACTTTGTATGGTGCCTGAACCACAGTAGAATCGCTGATGAAAGTAGTTTTTCTTGTGGAAGTAGGTTCTTTCTTCCTTCCACTTTGGATTGACCATGGATTTGGTGTTTCAATTTCTACAGCTCAGTCTTGAAATCAAAGTAGCTGACGGGGAGACTTACGTACTTCAGAATCGGTTATTTGGCAAGGTAAAGTCTTCAGGATGCAATGAGACGTAACTGTACACTCTAATCTTTATGAGAATGTGAAGAAAACAGCTCCTCTGTCGTATCTGATTGTAGGCGATCTCTTATAGGTAGATGTGGCGCAAGATCAATTTTTCACGACAGTGTGACTTTGCAGGGTGATTCCGAAGAAAATGTGCATCTTCTTTCAAGTTAGCATGTGTATCCTATATGCACAGTGTTATTTTGTCCGTATTGAAGTTGCCTCACAGATTAATATTTGTCCATATTTTAAAGTCCTATCCCTATCCCCGAAACTGGTGTCATGTTTTTCCTCAGTCAAGGTTCTATATGAAGATCAGGAAAGCGTCTGCTGGATCTCGCGGTTTCAGTTTTTTGTTCATGTCCTCATATGTTGATGCAGATCAAGCCTACGGAGTGCAAGTACAGTCGTTTGAGTACTAAGGTTGAAATCAGGCTAGTCAAGGCAGAACCAGTGCAATGGAAAAAATTGGAGTATGATCCCAAGTTAGCTGAGCTTCCTGCTCCTAAAGCTAATCCTGGTACGTGGTTCTCTCCAACTGCGATGAGATGGCCGCCGAATATTTTTAGAGTTTCCAGTAGAATGTTTTTTCTTATGTTGGTCGTGGCCATTGGATTCGAATTTCAAAGAATCGAGCATTTTGATTCTCAGCTATCTCCAGTTCGACTCGCTGGGATCTTTTAGCTCTGTTACTGAAGCAAAATATTCCTGGGCAGAATCATCGAAAGGATATCCATCTTCGACGAAGAAGACCAAGGATTGGGACAAACTTGAAGCGGAGGTCAAGAAGCAGGTGTTATTCGGAGCACCCAGTATTTTAGAAATTTCTGTAGTGCCATGTCTTTGTTAGGGCTATGCAACGCCAATTGAACAAATCGATACTCACTGCTTTATAGTGTCTCTGCTGGATTAAGACTCCTTGAGAACAGAACGCTCTTTGTTGTAAACCTCATATAAGAATTCAAAGACGTTTTCATTCACTTAAATAAAGTGAGAAATTTTGTGTAAATGATCTTAAGATGTACTAGCGGCCTGCCTTCCAAAAAAAACATGCGATTTGTGAAACGGAGGATGTACTAGCATGCCGAAAGAAAGATGACCATAATTTTCCTCTTTTGCAGGAGAAGGATGAGAAACTAGAAGGCGATGCGGCCTTGAACAAGCTCTTTCAAGATATATACAAGGACGCAGATGAGGATACCCGTCGAGCCATGAACAAATCATTCGTAAGTTTGTGCAGGAACTGATGCTCTCATGAACCTGTTTGTTTGTTGTCAGTTTTAGTCACCTACCGCAGCATATTCTTTACATCAGGTTGCTTGATTTTTAGTTCGTTGTATATATCTACAAGTCGAACTAACAAGTAATTTCGGTTGTTTAGGTGGAATCGAATGGTACAGTTCTGTCTACAAACTGGAAAGAGGTTAGTAGCAAACAGGTGGAAAAGAGTCCTCCGAAGGGTATGGAGGTCAAAAGTTGGGACCAGTGAGTGCTGCGGGAAGGGCTTGGTCCCCTTTTGTACTTGGTTGCTGTTTTTTCTACGTGGATCCATAGCCTCTCAGATGGTGTGAGATGGATTCATTGTATATAGAGGCTTGGTTTTTTTTAAGGACCTTGTATTGTAACTCATGCGTACGTGTAAATTCACTGTGGGTGATACTTCCGCAAGAGATGACGATGAATTGTCGATGTGGTTAATCTATGTGCATTTGCATGAGTCAAAAAAGCAGAGATGCCGTAAGTGGCAGATGATTTGATTTTGTGATGTTTGTGAACATTTTAGTGGAAGACACGCTGAAGTTAGACTCATATTTTGCCACCCCTATCACTTCTGTACACGTGAATACGCGATGGCAGTGGGAACATGGAATTTTGCTCAAAGTCGGCACTTTCAAAATACGTCCAATTTCTTCAACCCAATGTCCATGATTTTGCATCCGTCTGGTCTGAGAGTCAGGACGCATGACAAGATTATTGGTATTCGACTCACTCGCTCACCGCCTGTCATCGAGTTACTCAGGGCTACTTAGGTTTGATTCTGAATATGGTTTGCTTGGGTTGCCTTCGTTTGTTTAGGTAAGGCATATTAGAGGAAGTCTTTCGAACTTTTAATTACCTCCGTTTAAAACAAAATTTGTACGAGTAAAAAGGTTGTTGCAGGAAAAGCCCATGATCATGGGCTTTTCAGGGATTGCCAGCGAAGTACGTGATCTGGATCTTGTCATTTCCAGTAATCACATGAACTCACAACAGGGTGTTACCGCCTTGGATTTACAACCCTGTAACATATGCATGCATGTAGATGCAAAGTTTGTACTGAGACAGTCCTAGCAAGGTGCCTCCTGCGCTAGACCGCCTGCCAGTTGCTGATATGGTTAGTCGAAATTTGCCTCGTGGGGGCCGCCTCCTAACCATGTCGTTCTGATAGTCCAGACGTTTCGCTTCTCTGCGGAGCTTGACTTTCTTCTGGCTCGTAGCTTTATAGAAGCCATCCCTCCTTCCTCGTCGTCGCTGATGTTGCATCGCACTGTTATAGACGGAGAAACATAGGGGACAGGAGAGCGCAGAACACAAATGTCACGGATTATGCCGATCTTAAGAAAATTTGGCACTTGCTTTCATCCAGTTGACGTAAGAATCTGTTCATCTGTTCATCAATCGGTCACAAATTATCTTCGATATCTCCTCCAAGTTAAGTCAAACGATTTTGGATCGATCTTTTTAAACAATATTCCTTTGTTGGGCATAGGTACCCTCATGAAAGCAGCTCCGGTGCGTATGTGCCTGAGATGTGAACACAAACGTGAAATGAAAAACTCCCTAACATGCAATTTCCCGTATGGAGCTTAGTACACACTTCCATACATGTCTTCTATGCGGTAGACGTGTTTTCCTTCGTGATGCTACAAGGTGGTAGCCACTTATTCCTTTGCCATTATAATGGTACAAGAGCCTAGCCCAATTTTTGCCATTATAATGGTACAGGAGCCTAGCCCAATTTTATCCTTTAAGAGGTTTTGCTACGTTACCTGGCACTTTCACATTTATACAGTAGATCAAGCTTCAAAAGTTATTATTATATTATTTTCAAAAGGAAGTACCAGTATTGTAGAAGTGTCCAATATTTGTATCCCACGAAACAAATAATTAACAATGTCCCATATTAAAAGATTACACTCATGAGAAAAGTAACTTCATCACTTTATTTACCCAACAACTTGGCCAACTCATCCAAGGCAAGACCACCGCTAGGCTGAGCATCGAATGGGGACGAGGTAGGAATCCGCTGAGGAGGTTGCTTCTTTGGAACTTCTTCTTCCCCTGATTTTGCATCCAGTTTCGTAACATCGAAGTCTGGAAACTGGACAGATGCTGAAAGCTCAGAAGCCTTCTTCCATACAACATCTGGATCCACGGCTTCTGTTTCCAGCTGTACTGCTTGCCCCTCTTCGATTGCTTGCTTGAAGAGCAGGTCAACCTCGTCCATTTCGGCACCAGAAGATGACTCTTCTTCACCCCGCTGGTCATCACTGGTCGTTGCCACGGTTTGTTCCCCTTCGACTCCGCCATCGGTAAGAACAGTTTCCTCTGCAAACTTTCCTCTCCACATCATAATTTGTTCCTTCTCAAAAGAAAGAAGAACACAAGGAACTAGCTCCTGGAAAACAAATGCAAGAGTCGCACGAGTGATCAGCATTCAGAAACCAGACATAAGATACAAATCCCGATGACGACAAATTCTCAGAGAAAAATCTTTGATCGTTTCGGGACAAACTACACACGGATCAAATGATCGATAAAACCACCTTCAATTTAGCTCCAATCTTCTTGTAATCGCTGGGATTCAATCCTGTGCAATCAACTCTGACAACCTCGTCCACTGAAAACTGCGCCCTCACATCTGCCACGAGGTTCATGTACACTCCGTTCTTCGCTGCAAAGCACCATCTTGGTGTCAGAGGTGATGAAAACTCATAATCAAACTCATGATCAAAGGTTGCAAACGAACAGTATTAAATTGTTACTCGGAGAGTCTAAGACAAAATCTGTTTACAATGCAAACGGAGTCGTCAGTCAGTCACCTCCTACTGATCCGCAATTTCCATACAAGATATTGCATAGACACGTATAAAAGCAAGGAATGACTCACAAAGCTTGCAAAGAGGCTCGGCCCTTCTTGCTTTGGCCCGTAGCAGTTTGGCTTCGTCTTCCGTTAGACCCTCAGGAACTGGAACTATAAGTTTCGGATAGATGGGAGTAGGAGGCTTCCATAACATCAATGGAAATTTGGGCCTTGTTTTGTATTGATAATTCCGACCTCTGAATAAATAAATTGTCCCACCAGCACGTGAGATGACAACTCCTCCAGTTTTCTCCTGTGACCATGCCACACGACACAGATTAAGCACGCCAATCCTAATCTTGACTCGAAACAATTGTCCTGATCGTCTGAATTCACATACTGCATTCACAGGCTGAAACACATACACTCCTGAAGGCAAGATTACCTCGAGAACCCGGACCACGTTATCCATGTCCACTGTTGGTACTCCTTTACATTTGATCTTGCAACACACACTCCTTTTCCAGTGTGTGTGTATAACCTCCAGCATGTTGTGTGTTAGTCCATCTCTTCCTGCAGTGTTCCTGAATGTATTAGCAGCAATAATCAAGACAACGAAAAGAATATCCGCCGACTGGAGATCATAGAGGGCTCTTCACAACTTGGCATAATTGCATCTGATTGCTGATACTGAATACGACCGCAAAAGAGGGAAGAACGTGTGTACCAAGGTTGACCATCTTCTTCATCTTGATGCACGTCTCAACGAGCTCCCTCACTTCTTGGGGTGACAGTGGCTCTCCGATGATCTCCTCTCTGGTCTTGCCCTCCACAGGCCCTTGCCCCGGTGGGAAAGGACCTGGCTTCTGAACATACTTGACTCCTTTCTTCGTCGGGGGAGGGTTGAAGGAATCAAACTCCGGGACCTTTTTCTTCTGTGGCTTCAAAGGAGCACTACCTGTCCACGGCCTTGCAACCAAATCCTGGGGCCCGAACGGCGAGTACGGAGTGTCTCTAAAACCCAAAATTGGGGCTTTCGGAACTTCGGAGTAGCTGTACTGATATTGCTCCATCCAAGCAGGCAATTCGTCCAGAGCCTCGGCTGTTTTCCGAAGAGCAGAAGCTGACGCGGGGGGGAATTTCTCAGCCAGAGAAGTTTCTACCTCGGGTCCGGCATCCTCATCGTCACGAGATGTGTCGGAATCGTAATTTCGAGGAGGGTCGTAAGGAGAGTGGGTGGCAGGGCGTACGGGACTTCTAATATCCGACATTGGCCTCCGGAAAGGCTTTTTGTTGGCCCGTTGATTCTTAGCTGGGGCACTCGTGGATAAATTTCTAATTGGCTTCGAGTACTTGGAGAATTTTCCAGGGATGGAGGGAAGAGACGGGTCGGACCGAGAACCGACGGACCTAAATTCTCCATAATTGGAACCATTCCTATTGCTCTCGCCCACAGAGTATCTTCCTGGTCGACCCGTGAAAGGAGGAGGGGACGGGACGCTAGAGAAAGGGTTTAGAGTGGAATCTGACAGTAGAGTTTCAGACAAGCGAGAAGAATTAGAGTTGGGATTCACAGGGCTGGATACAGATTTCGGTTCGGAATCAGAGGAAGACGAGCTATCGGAACACCACGCTACACGAGAGAGAGAAAATTTCCTCGAGAACGTACTACAAAAATGGAACGAGAGTCGCGAGGGAGCGTTCTTCAGCACCACTCCCTGCATCGGACCGACGTGCAGCATTTCCGCCTGTATGAGCTCTAAACCCTAAACCCCACAATTCCTCCAGCTGCGGCCCTGCCCCAGCACGACCGGCACTCGTAAATCTATAGCCCTTCAGCTGCAAAACCCACCGCCATCAAACCTGCAACTCGGCGCCTCCCACCTCCCACCACCGCCATCTCCCTGCACCATCGGGCCATGAAACCTCGAAATACGGCAGAACAAAAATTGACGAACTTAAAACTGCAGCTCCACAATTGGCAGATACGATTTCGGCCACGGCACAGTTCTCTCGTTGGCTCTTACGGCAGAAGAGGAGGGGGCGGATTTTGAAACCAGGGCGCAAGACAGTGACACGAGTCCGCAATTTGGTCAAATCCGCTGCATTATGATGATCCCACGGCCAGAGACGATGTCCATCGAAGACTCGCGGCTGAAGTGCTTCGAGGCTGGATCGAGGAGTCTCCTCGACGAGAACAATGCACGACTGATCGTCATCTCATGGCACAGAGAGAATGTCACGGATCCAGAAATCCCACGAATCCGCTGAGACTCTTCGAAGTCCTCCGGTCAGCTGCCGGTGAAAGGGCTCTCGCCTCTCGCCTCTTGCTTCTCACTTTCGCTTTCATTTTCGCTTTCGCTTTTATTTTAGTTCCTGGCATTGTACGCTTCTCTCCTTATCCCCTCTCTTTGTAGGCGTGGGCCCGTTTCGTTTTAATTAGAGTTTCAGTTTCGGAGGCTTTCCTTTTCCCTTTGAAAACCCCCGATAGTACGTACACTACTGGTGCCAAGTGAATATCAAAAACTATAGAATGACTACAGCAAGCCATACACGATAAAACTCACGGTGACAACAGGCTGGTACTCGTAGAATTGTTTATTTCATCACCTACCATATCTAAAGTATCTAGATAAAAATATTTACAAACAATGGGAGGATCTCAATCCTCACCATCATCTACTGCTCTATCGTACTGTAGGCTGATGCTACACGTACAAACATGGAGATATGTTATCTAAATAATCTACGCTATAGTTTTGAGAAATCGATACATGGTATTACCTATGCTGATAAGATCTCATGTTTTGTCTCACAAATATGTACAACTTTGCACCCCCCTATCGAGAAGAATACCTCTTTGTTTGGAAAGTTTGGTTTCTGTCCCTGCACTCGCCCGCCATCCGCAACGATGCATAATCAATCTCTCATGAACTTTCTCTCTTGTAATATTGATATCCGTCATGTCTGCAACTTCAGTTTTTTTACTATCCAATCAACTTTAGACCCTCCGTAGTCCATGTCTACATCAATATATGAAAATTCTACATCCACAAGTAATCCAAACATCACATTTCTTATGGTATCATGGTTAACCTTATTTCTTATGGTCATCGAGTTCGTAGTATATCCACATTCTATATACATAAAAAATGGATGATAAAAATGTACATAGATAGATCAAGGTCATGTGGGACCTCATAACTGCACAAATGTTCCTAATGTTCCTGATTGCGTCCAAATCCAAGAGTGTCCATGCTTGTTAGCTCCAAAGCGAAGGTGACAGTTTTCAGTATTAAAATTTTTATTAGGATTTTTTCATAAATAAAAATAATATAATATAATAAAACTTTCACAATTGTCAAATTATCAAATTATCAAATCAAATTGGAAATATTTGTCTAATATGAAGACAAGAAAACAATTGTAAGTTCATGTTGTACTCCAAGAGCAAAATGTCTGTTGTATGACTTTAAAATTCAATAAAAAAATGTCTATTTACATCCGATTTATTTACACAATAATAATGATATTTGCAATTCTAAAACAATGAAATAGCAAGCATGTTGAGAGTATCAAAACAGAAAAAAATGCTTATAGCTAATACTAGATCTTGAAGATGGTACTATATTTTGAACACATATATGCTTGTTGAGTAGTATGTATATGTACATGTTTGACATACATTCTTTTAGTACATATTATTCACCAATTTTATGATATGTAACTCAACACACTTGTTGTCATTCATCTTCATTTTCCAAAAAGCATCATACACACTAAGTACACATTAATGTTTACAAATCATGCAGTGAAATTGGACGTTCACAGCTTTTTATATGGGATGATTTGCTGGCATCTCAAATTCTACTCAAAATCATATTTTATACATTATGAATATAATTATTTGTAGAATGTAGATTGGAGAATTTTGTAGATTATTTTAAAATTACATGTAGAAAACTAGATCAACTTAGTGATACTAAACAACAGTGATAATACTTACTACAATCCTTTATTATGTTTAAAAATTTGATTTTGATGCTGATTGAGTATAGTGAGATTGTTTCATTATCACTAAAATGCAATAAACTTCTATACTATACTTGAATGTTTGTATATCTCAACAATAACGCATATATGTTTATTTATATATTTAACTGCAATTAATTACAGTGAATTTTTTACATCTTCCTTATGAACTATATTTCATTCAATTGCAAGTTTTAATAGTAAATTATATTATGTAATATTAGTTATAGATTTGACAGATTTCCCTGAAATCTATCTACTAGTAAATACTAAGTAAAGGTTATGATTTGCAGTTGAATATATATTGCAATGCACTAATATAAATCTCTCTATTTTTTATAGGTATCTCTAATAGGATGAAAACTTTAAATGTATGTATGTATGTATTTATTAAAACATATGAATCAGAATAGATTGTGAGATAGATCATTGCCAAAAAAATTAGATTTCATTTATTTCAAAAAGTAAATTGATTCATGCAATATATAAATAAAACACATAAAATTATTTAAAATGTTATAAATTAATTTAAAATTTAAATTGATGTAATAATATGTGATATTTTTCAAGATTTTAATTTTAGTTGTGATATGTATGAAATTATTTTTGATAATCTAATAATATTTATTTATTTCTAGAAAATTTCAAACTTCATTGAACTTTAGAACTTACAAAAAAAAAGTCTTCAATCAATAAAAAAAAACTTTAAAAATTGACTTTTATTTTTTTATTAGTTCAAAAATGTCAAAAAATAGAATATTATTTAAGTATGAATATTTGCTACTTCAAAATCTTTGATTTTGAATAATTAAAATTCTAAAAATTCGTATGTTGTACATCAATGATATAAAATAATGGAGGTAGTACATATTGATTACAAATAGTACTATACATGCAATAAATTAGAAATCTGGAGTAAAATCAATATTAATTTTGAAGAATTATAATGCTAAAACTTTAAAAATGTTATCTATGAATAATAAAATTTTGTCTGTTGTATCATACTTCAAAAGACTTGATGATTTTTAATTCACGACTTGCTCTAATATCAATTGTAAAAAATAAAAAAATAAAAAAATCGAGAAACAAAATAACACTCAATGCCGGGCCAACATATATGTGATTTCTCACTATGTAGCTATTTGGGTTCATATCTAGCTTCTGAGCTTGGCTAGAGCAAGACCTAGAGATCAAAAATACTCAAGATGGTATGTGTTAACTGAAAGCCTCTCGTTATGGACCTCAAGCTCTTAAAATAATCAGTTGGAGTCAACATGAAGGTTTCAAGACGACGGCTAGGATTTTTCCGCGATAATTAGAATCATTTGATGATGACTAGGTTGTGCAACGGATTGTGTATTCTGTCACGTCTAGAATTTCTTGCGATGTAGCTCAAGAGAACTTTTCGCCCCATTTTGATAAGAACCAGACTTAACGTCTACAGAATATGCAAGTTGGAGAGAGAGTTTGGTGGCTAGATTGCATATGAATAAGTTGGACTCATTTGAATCCAACCTATGAATTGCAGTCTCATTCAAGGTTGCATGAGCTTGAATGCACACTATTTTTGTGATCTAAATACACATTGAGTACCTGCTCATGTTGGAGTTTATAATTATGTTCGGAATATTGGTTTGGAGATATACTTTGGTGAAAATATCCTTGAAAATATTTTGTTAGTCATAAATTGCATCATGTTTTGAGGAGTCTCGTTCGCTTTGACCACAAACAAGATTCTTTAGACCATGATTTTTGGATTCATTTCATCGCAACGTGCAAACTAGAGTCTCATTCAATTTCTCATAAGTTTGAATGTGCACTGTTGTTGTGACCTAAACACACACTTAAGTATATGCTTGTGTTAGGGTTTGTGATTATGTCGGTAGTTTGGAAGGTTGGTCTAGACTTAACAATTGTTTAGAATTCACAGAGTTATCTTGATCGCGTTTTGGTGAAAACATGGTGATTATCCTCTTGTCTGTCATAGAGTGCATCATGTTGTTAGCTTTGATAAAAATGCAAGACTTTTCAGACTATGATGAAGTCTATGATTAAACATGCTAGACAGTTAGCTTCGACCTCATAAGTAATGGCAATTATTAGAAAAAGCATCGAGGATTTATCACAATTGTGTAGATTAGGGCTAGATTAATCCGCGTGTCTAGCTTTTTTAACGGTTTACCGGAAAAAAAAAACCATTCGCCGCATTATGATAAGATTTGGACTAATCTTCCACAAGAATATGCGCGTTAGAGAATATATCGAGTGGATCGATTGCATTTATGTCCAACGTACGAATTGGACATAAGTATCGCATGAGCTTGAATGCGCACTACTGTATTGCTTTGACCTGAATATCCACGCTCGTGTAAGAACTTATGCTCGTGTTCGTTCATGCATATGAATAAGTTTTTATCCTGTCGGTAATTTGCAATGTTGTAATTGTTCCGCATCTAGAGAGTTGTATTGATCTCGCTTTGGTGAAAATATCTTTGAAATCGTCTTCTAAATCATAGATCTCATTCACGAGACTCTTCGTATACACACTAAGATTGAACATAACAATTCGTTATCTTCGACCGCCAATTCGCAATTGTTTGAAAAAGCATCAAGATTTTACCATTGTCGTTTTAAAAGTTTCGTCAACGTTTGTTGGTATTTTCTTTCTTTTGTTTACGATTGACATAAGAGCAAATCGTAAATTGAATTCCATCGAGTATTTTGAAGGCGAGATGTGACTTTCTATATGACTTTCTATGGAGAGATGTGACTGACGACTAGTGAATCAAGAGGGAATGATAAAAGCACAATGAACTGTGAAAGTATATTGTGGTTAGGAGCTAAAATTAATTTTTTAGAGCATACAAGTTCTCCATAAAGAAATAGTAGTCTACTAGCAACTAAAGAAAAATAGAAATATTTATCGCTTGCACCAGAAAAGGGAGCAATGTTAGCTGAGAATACACTTAACACTTTGGTATAAGTGGTGGTTCTGGTGAAACCCAGTCTGGACTGGAAAGGGGGCCGGAACCCTCCACGACATTCTCCGCAAAATCGAAGAAAAGGCCCAAGTCATGTTAGCCTTAAACAAAAAGGAGGGTGTGGTTTTATGTACTAGTTGTATGTTGGGCAGTAAAATACATATTTAGTTGGGTTTAAGAATAATTATAAAATTGCACCCTTATTACCGAGGGTTGTAAATTGATAGTAAAATAATAAGAAGTGATTATGTTGATGGTATGGATGGTGACTGAGACACAAAACGTTAACCAGAGTGGAGACAAGCTAAAAAGTATGTCATTTAATGTCATGTACTGTGACAGAAGCTTGTATTCTCTGAAAAGCTTCGACTCCAACTGGTTCCTCATCCACGAGCATAAGTTCCCCGTCAAAACAACGTTCAAAGGTCTACTCCGTTGCATCATACCCCAACATTGCACATATATCTAAATAAGTAATATGCTTATCATCATACGTGAATTAATCCCATCATTTCTCACATATACCTTATATTACTATTCGTGATAACACATTTTACTCAGGTTTTCACACAAACTGTGGCATCCTTGCGGTAATAAGATACTGAAAAAATGGAGCCCATGTGTTTGAAATCCAACTATAGTTATTCCAATAAAAAGAGAGAATGAAAGACCTAGGGTAATTATAAAATGACTATACACAAAAGCTAGTGGATGATCTCAAAGGCTTGAGACCCATGCAGTGTACACTTGGCTCCACATTCATGGAAAGGGTTTCCCTCGAGAACATATATCCAAATTATGCCAATGGGGTGCAGCAAAAGACGTCATTTGAGGTCCCAGGATGTTGCCACTCGGCACTAATGACATGCATTCTTTCTCAGAAAAATCTGACTCTCACAGTCGTCCCCATACGACTACATACACTCACCTGAGTGTGAATCGCAAGATCCAAGTTTCAAAGTGGCAGTTATTTCTTACTGCCACTTAAAAACTTGGAAATTTTGCAGAACAACTCATCGCCATGCAACGACTACAAACCATGGTTGTTATTTCTGAGATGCAAACTTTGGGTTTCACTAAAAGTTCCACTTCAGTTTCTTCGGTCCACATCCCCGGTTGCTTTGAAGTAAAGCCAGGCCCTCCCATTCAGGTATAACTAAACTAACTTCACATGTCTTTATAACACGAATCACCTTACGCCTGCAACTGCAGAGGAAGGCAATTGTATTTGGCTGAAACGTCTAACCTCTGAACTGCAATGTGGGGTTTGTATATTGCTTCAGTCTTCGTTTCCGACCTCACAAAGCTGTTGCGATTTTGAGTTGACCTCTCACGAGGTTGTCCTGTTCAGAAGTGACATTCATTTTCGGATTTTAGGAGCTATCTCAAACTTTGGAAGTTGAACTGGCCTATCCTAGCGGACCTTTTCAATATTTTTAAGGTGGAATATAAATTACTCCTTGAGTTCTGGACAGGACTCACCTTCAAAGAATACACGGAGACGTGACTTGGACATGGCCACTTAAAAGGTATTCTGTATCCGCATCTGGGGCCTGGCAGACCCTGCTCCATGCAGTGCTTCCACTTGACAAGAGCTAAGCTACACACACCAAATTAAAGGTAAGTGTCAGTCATTTGAGATGACCATCGGACCCAACACCACCAGCCCTAAATCAATCTTATATATTGATACCTTTTTGTAAGCATTCTCAAACTTATTTTCTAAATTGATGACCGTCGACTATTGTGCTTGTATAAGAAGAGAAGGAACTTTATCCACATAGAATTTAATAAATAAAACCCAGTACTGTAAAGCTCAGTCAAAGATAAATAACAGTAATAGCTTACATGGTGAGAGTGTCCCAGGAGTAGTTCGACCGTGTTTACAATTGAAGAATAGTTGTGACAAAATCTCACTTCTCATTCCTCACAACAACTCATGAGTTCGTATCCATTGACATCAGAGTCGCTTCCAACGCTTTTAGTTGCGCGACTGCGACATCCATGGTTTCTCGTAAACTTTGATCTGCATTCAGCAAAATACAGCAACACGTTATCGTGGTTCTTGCCCACCTTGTGCTAACTGCAGTACATACAATGAAAAATGAATCTTGAATCACATGCAAAAGGCCCCAGACAATAGAGTTCCTTTATTCAATTACCTTTAGGACTTGTCGTAATCCCACCTGCATCTGCCAGACAAGTGGGAATGAGATCATCAATTGCAAGATTTACATAGCTTAGGCCAACAATATACAATTCAATCCCCTACATTGAACGAACCTAGCAAGTTCTTCTCTCTTATCTTTACAGCACTAGCTGCATGCAGTTGTTCTGTGACCATTTGGAGGTAATATGAATATGTATATTTCTTCAGTCCTAAGTAGATGTGAGGTGAGGTCTATGTAAAATTCTTCGATTCCCAGGATGACTGGAACGCACTATTTCGAATACATCTTGCAAAACCTAAATAGCAGACCTCGCCGGTCACCTTGATCATTCAAGGTAAATGATTTTCACTTCAACACAATCTCCCTCGCAGGTGTGATGCATAATGAAGCTAAATTATATGATGATCGACCTCGGCCAACAACCTGAAAGATTTCTATCGTCACTCACATCTACTTCAATCATCGAGCCCACGTAGACACTGAATGATAGTTACTTGTGAAAAAACAGAAATGTGCTTGATATCTTACCATTAAACCCCATTTTATTGAACAGAGTTACTTCCAGTTCCTTGAGTTGACTTCTGGCAATTTGCAATTTGTTGACAGGACTATGACCTGCATAACAGAGTATTTCTCGTTTCAAGTTAGAATGTAAATATATGCCAAGACTGAGTTCAAGTACACGTTACGAGCGGAAGGGGGACTATTTTAAAAGGCATGGTCAGACAATAAACTGAAACATAGCTGCACATGACAAACGTGATTTGTAATGAAGATCTTAGGCAGAGTGCATGCAGTCAAAATCCAGCCGATGCAGCGGATTGTGACAATTGTGAAAATTTTGGTAGTGTTACTAAGAACAAAGAAGCAGAAAAGGATGTGCTAGTCTAACTTCATTGGCGCTGGATAGACGTCCAGCGGCTGTAATAAGCTTAGCACATGGGCGTGCCTCCACTCACCCCTGCTATCCCCAAGATCTCAACAGCGACCTTGAGGTATCTCTTGCATATGAAAAAGAGTACATCTCAAATTTGGACTGAGGGTTGTCGCGGTAGGTATCGATCCAGGTGATGAGGACCTAGCATCATTGCTTTTTTCTGCCACGGCTACTTTAAGAAGAATCATTCTTCCTTGGCTAAGAATGACTTGTACACTGTACTACGCTGTAGACAAACCTCAATATTGTTACAAACAGTTCAAAAAATAAATGGAAAAATGTTTGAAAATTAAATATCCCATCATTACGGACAGAAATGGAAAAAGGAAAGCTACACACTAGAAGTTTATGCACAGAAGGAAGGAACCAGTACAGAGGTGTACTTTCCGATCACTCTATATCAATCGAGAAATGCAGATGGGATCGGCATAGTTGGCCATGCCCATAAAGGTAACATAGGACATGATCAGCCTAAAAGGTTGAACATGAAAATGGGTGAAAAGCATCTCGAATCAACGTGGTGCTCATGGGTGCCAACTAAATGGAAAGAAGCATGAAGTCAAATACTAGAGCCGAAGAACCATGGCGACCAAATCAAGCGAATAATGCAGACACGGATATGAAGGATAAAAAGCGGTGATGGATGGAAGCGGGTGAGAGACGTGAGTAGGAGAAGCAATCCAGCCGTTGAAGTAACAGTTCTAGGAGACTGAGTGAGCAGTATGGAACTGCCAGTCCGACGCAAGAAAGGTGTCAGGGACCATCAAAAATATTGAATTATAAGCGTCAAATCCCCGTCACACATACTCCGCTATTTCATCAGTGGATACCGAAGTGCATAGGTTTCTGCACAGGACGGCTCTGCGACTCATAATAAGTGAAAAGCCAAAGAATATCAATAGCTGTTGTCCAGGCCGAGCAGTATCTACCTATGAAGATGAACGATATGCCCAGTATAAAGAAAAATCCAAGAGAGCAGAATGCATGTCGTCCACTGGAAACAGAGTCCATAAAAACAAGAATAATATGCCAAACACAAAGCAAATGCCAAAGTATTAGAGGGAGTATCATGTCACTTGGTAAGACCATATACACTACAAACACAACATGTACTATGAACAATATATAGAGATGCGAATTTCAAAGCGCTAAGAGTACAATTAAGAAGATGAACTAGCACGAATATGGATTACAACATAAGAAAGAATAGGAAATGAAACAAGTTTTTCAGCTAATTTAGAAGACGGGCTGTCAACAAGCCCCCTGCAGTGTAGATGTAACCTGCAGGACTGGTTGGAAAACCCTTACAGCTGAATGGCCAAGAAGGAACATTTGTTCCGAGGGAGGACGGAAGCCGGGGGACTATATATTAGGCACATATTGAAGTGCTAGGTGTCATACTTCCTAGTCGACATAGATGTAGCGTGACTAAGTGTTATCAAGAGGTGTAATATTCTAGAAAACAAACTCTTTGAGCCTTAATGATGACTTATTTACAATTTTCAGAAATCTTGAGACAACAATTTCAACAGATGTTGTTTAAATTGTGGATCTCGCCATTGTTTCCCGTTTAGGAACAAAGTGGGAAATAGCCAAGTCCACGATGCAGCAGGTGAAAGGAGAGATCGCTGATTCAGTTCCAGGATTCCCGAGGCTACATACCCGCTGTGACAAAGTCTTCAGAGATGTAATTGATATCCTCGAACTCAGGAAAAGCAAAAACGAAACGATAATCCAGATATCCGTGATGAGTCCACCAAGGAGATTTACCAAGTCTATCAAGTCTACCGAGGATATCCGAGGTCAGTGTAAAGAAACTTCCTTCGCTTAGGTAAGGAAACGTGACAAAAAAGTCCTCAGGGTAGGTATCCCCTGTTTGAGATCAGCAAGGTCAATATTCATGTGAAGGTACTTAAGTCATAGTATCAGATGAGGGCAGGCATCAGAATAAGGGCAACTACGGTTAAACTTCTGGATGCCATTGCAGACTCCCGCAGAATAAATAATATCCAGGAGGAGAGTGCATGTAGACCACGCTAATGCAGAAGTGAAGCTCAAAATCATGTGCTGTAGGAAGTGGACCATGCACATATGGATAACATAGTACGTGATCAACCACAGGGGATTAGCAGGCAAGAGACCAGAAAGAGGGTAAGCCGATATATACACTCTTAAAAGGCCCTTTCGAAACTTCTGTCAAGCAGGCTGTGAACCACAATGTGTCAAAATTTAATACTGTGCTCAGACAGCCAAATAAGTTATAAGAACCACTCAGTCATTCAGGTTTTAACTTCTCATAGAGTTGTCATTCATAATCATATTCTCCGCAGGCTTGACATCGTCAAACCTAGAACACTTCGGCAGAACTTGCCTAAACATAAAAGTCCATTAGTGTCATGACCTGAATGAGTGGGAACACAATCAGTTGTACGACCAGGACCCGTTAATAGGTAAGCAGATTGGTATACCCACCAAGGTCTGTGATAGCATTGCTGACTTCATTACTATGTTGACGTTCACTGTCAACCAAAGTTTCAAGAGCGGCCTTGTTAGTGGCCTCGCCATTGGGTGGATTGCATGCAGGATCATGTTCACTTCTTGCAGATGACGTCCCAGAAGACTGCTGGTTGATTTCCTCCTGTTTCCTGGTGTCTCCGGAAGTTTCCTCATAATTTCTCTTGCCACAACTGGAATAACAACTTTTGATGGTTTCGCTTTGTTCACCATTAGTTTGCAGGTCCACGTTGGAGTCATATCTGGAGGAATAGCACGTATCAGTGGGTTCATTATAACATCCAGAACTTGAACGAAGGTGTATACTTATGTGAAACGAATGTTCTTACCGGCCATATAAACCATATGCAGATGTTACAGCCCCTCTCATGGTTGCTGCTGGTGAGGCTTCCAATAAAATCGGACTTGGTAAGATGGGTCTTCCAGGCCTATTGCTGGTATCCTTGACGTTGACTCCGGCAACAACTGCCATGGTCTTGAATAGTGAGATCAAAACTCGCTCAGAAACATGAGACTTTGCAAACCATGCCTGAACATTAACAGACACCGAGTAGACTAGATTAACGATATCTCATGTTTTCAGTTACTTCTAGATCTCACTTTCTTCGAATATATATATTCAGGATTTGAACATTTGACATGTTTCACAGAGTGAAGAGAATATACAACAGGTTACTCTGCAAAATGACGGATTGCAAGTTTGACTCCATTCTACACTTCAAAGAGAAAATATCGACCTCATTCGTCAAGGATTTGAAGTAGAAAAGCTGGAAATGTAAACGTACAAACAAGCGTACAATCTCTCACTTACAAAAGATGTGAAATGAATATAACTCACGTTTGTGACAGGGTTTCCTATGGGCTGCAAAAACAGATGACGTGGTTTCCCAACTTCATCACCAACTTTCACTGGTTGATGCTTCATGAATTGTCTGAAAGTATGAATAACATCCTCTTGATAGCACTTCACAGGCACCCGAACCGGTTCTACCTTCAACCGCTTTCCCGTACCCCTCGTCGATGATTTGAGAGTCGCAGCACTGGCTGGTGGAGCAGCCGAAGAGTCTAGATTCTTTGACAATCTCTCACCATAGCTAAACAGCACAAAACAAATCAAGATATTTCAAGCTGGACTAAATTAGTTAATTGAGAGGGCTCAAACTCATGACCCAAATGCATAACGCGTAGTTCTTCTGTGGGCATCCGCTGTAAATAATTAGCGAAAAATCGGGTGAGTCCAAAAGCCAATGGCGTATCGATTTCCACTGTCTGGACAGATTCGACTAAACCCATCAACTCCCTATCGACTCATATGACGCTCAGCCTCAATATTCATTGAGGAAGGTAGTATGAAGAAGATGTCAGTGAATAAAAACTTACACAATATGATCCCCATCCTTATCCCTTGTCTCATGGAAGTCGCAGTCCATAACATTATAAAGCTCTTTCCCACCTCGGATCTGGAACCGGGATATACAATAATATGTCCAACGTCGGAAACAGCCATACGGATGAGATGCTTGATGATCTTTGTCCGTCAGGAGGGCTTGTTCACTGACCCAGGACACGACAGATGGCTTCTTCCGTCGCTTGTTGGCACCTGCAAGAACACTTCGCCGCATGGCTTCCAGCATAGCTACCCCAGTTCGCTGGAACAAAGTGTTTGCTCTCATGTCGAAAGGTGTCTCTATTACCCGAGTCTCGCAAATTCGAGCCTCCTGTGCCTTTCTCATTATACGAGTGAAACCCCGATAAAATCCCAGTAGACTGCAAAGATCAGAATTGAAATTTATGTCACACGGCAGAACTCATGAAAGAAATAACACAAGCTTTTTCTAAAACCTTTCAGTAGGAAGCCCTGTCATTAGGTACTGAATTTCGTGAAGTGCACATGACCGACATCTTCTGTGCCCTCAGCCAAAAAGTACCTCTCTAAAGGATAGTGATCACCGTTATGCTTCATAACCTGCTGAAAGAAAGTGGGTAATTGAGACGCAAGAGTCTCGATGTCCATTGTCTCTATGGCCTTTGATGTTGGCATGCCATTCTGCAGTCTCCACTCATCAAATCTGCGCCTCGACCAAGTGTCATTCTTCGTACTCTGGTTCCCACCGCTAGCGACCAAAGTACTCAAAATTTCACGGTCCAATGCAGCAAAAGAAGGCTTCTGATCCATGATGCCTCCTTCTCCACCCCCAAGAGCATTTGCGATGTCTTCTTCTGTCACATCGCTCATGTTTTGATCACATTCTCCCGCCATAGACTGTAACCAATCCCAGATACCACCTACATCATCGTCCACAGAATTCTTCACAAAGCTCCCATCACCATCCGCTATCCTGAACATGGCATGGCTATCCTGCCTGAAAGAATCCCTGGGTAAGTGCTCCATTATACCTGCAGAAGGTCGAGCCACAATTAGACTGGCTGTAGCAGGGGTGCATCCTCTTTGTACAAGAAACAACGTGATGGTCAGTATAAAGTCTTCTTGGTTTTTTATTCTTTGAAGACCAGTAGAACTTGCCCCTGAGCATAGTCCAATGGCCTTGACAGTCAAACGATGTCATGTGCACAATCTCTACCTCAAAAGTTTAGACAAACCTTCATTCCTCTCAGATGTAATAATTGCACCAGCTGTGAACGATGGACAGAAACTCTAACAGCACGATCCATTAGAATTAGGAGACATCTGACTCCGGGGGGGTGGGGGCATCTGGTTGTAGAGGCACTAATCTCTGGAACATATATTCAAGTAATGGTGCGTTTGTGAGAGAGCAGATCCACAAAACGCTGACCCTGTTGGATACAAGCCGTTAGGAGTATTATGAAGGTTGATGTTAACATTCGAGCGACCCATCGATCTAACGACAAACCGACATGTTTCGGCGAGATGTGGGGGCTTTCTTCAGACATACTTCCACGGCGCACGCTGTCAAATTCTCTTATTGAAGACAAGAACTATAAAATGATGGCGATTCCATTGAACATAATGGATGTGATGAGAGGGGCAGATAGAGCGTTACAATCATCTGGCTACGAACAGGCTGCAGCAAAGTTTTGACATTGATATCGACATGATCACGGGGATTAAACTCGAACTGCGCTTTTGCACGACCAGTGGGTGGAGAAGTGAGCAAAACCTGAGGCATTAGTTGACTACGAGACGCTTAATTCCATCAGCCAACTGGAAATCAGCTTCGGAGCTACGGGCAAATTTGCCCCCAAATGGGGCCGTATTTTACATCAAGCTGAGAGCTTTTGATTACTTTATTCTCACGAACCAACGTACCAGTAGCCATGTCCACGATCTACTTGGGTATACTGGTCGATCAGCGTATCTTAGTACTAAACACAAGTCCCATACTCCGATTCTTTGTTGCTTCTGCCGTGCTGGAAATCCTCAGGCCATTCACGAACTAACCGCATCCTCTTTGCACATCAGCGCTCAGCGCTCAATCAACCGACGCATTCAGTCGCAACTGAACCAGTTTCGGAGTTTTTCCCGTCCTTCCTTCTATCTGTCTGTGCCCACTCGGAAAAGGTTCGGAAGTCCCAAACCTCAGAGTCTGTGTGTCCGAGGGCAAGCAAAAGTGCACTGTGATGCTGATGTGACAATCCTGATGGACCGGCCCTTCTCTCCCACCCACCAATCTTCTTTTCTCTTGGGGAAACAGAAATGCCCTGCCCACCTCACCTCATGCACAGCAGCTGAACGACAGGACTCCCACGAAACTTACAGAAAGCTCTTGCAAACTCCTGGAGTTCGCTTCACCTCAGACTAGTTAATCCAATCAATGATTTCTTACCCTGGCCCCACACCACACCACCCCACCACCCTTTCCATTCTCTTTCTACCCTGTACTTTCTCGTCCTCTGCTCGTAATTACATCTTGAGAGTAGAGAGTTTAGGTCTCCATGCCCTACGTCGCCTCGCCTCCGTCGAGACAGGTCTACATGTTCTGCGTTGCTTGTCCCAGAGGAGACATCTCCCTCTTTTCGCGTATAATTTCGTCAATAGTCCAAAGTTGTACAGTACAGGGAGGTCATGCGGGTAAAGCCCTGCTCCATGATTCACCATCCCAGAATGAAGATCCCCTCTAGCTCTTGATGAGAATCTTTTTCTTCAATTCTCGAAAGTCTTGGAGATCACATTTCTCCCCGTGATAGTCGCCCCGTCTCCAAAAAATCGAGACGAGTATCGAGTTCTAGGATCCATCCATTGCGCTTGCTTCATTTCATCATCGCATCGGAAGTGATAATACCCAGTGCATTCTTTCATTGCATACTTTCTGCATGCGTTCTCTGAGGTGCAAACCTCTACACCTGAACAAAGCAATGAACCTCTCATGGGTGGGACCGTTCATGGTCGTGATGAAAATGCGAACCTCACATCCTTCAACTCAAGAACGACACATCCTTCTCCACCATCTCCACCATTCGGGAAAATCTGACGATGAATGTCTCGAATGAAATCTTTCCAACTTTCCTCCCTATCCCATGCCGGCCTCACCTGACCCTTTGCCGGTTACCCTTATAAACATGTTACTCGTACTAAATACTAAGTTCCGTCTCCTGCCAGCGTACGCGACGGACGGACGGTGGATGTAGAAGAGAATGGAAGAGGACGGGTGTCAACCGAGAAGACAAAAGGTGACCGAGTCGTCGCCCCGACTGACGGAAGGACCGCCGTCTTCGTCCATCTTTTCGCTGCCACTTGTGTTGCGATGAATCAGATTGTCCGCTTCAGAAATTTGAATCCCCCGGGAGCTCGAGGCACGAGCCAAGGGAAACCGGCGAAAGTCCACCAGGTGAAGGAGCTGGAGAGCTGGAGAGCTGGAGGGCTCGTTTGCCAGCTCATCCAGCCACTTTTCATGACTGTCCACTCTGCAAGGTCCAGGGCATAAATTCACGTTGATGTAACTTCCTCTGCTAACATTTGTTCACGCGGCTTCGGATGCTATTGTAGTTTGTTGACAGTTTAACCCATACAGGTCGCATGTATATCAAATGGTATATTTCTTATTGTGATGCTAGTGCACGTGGCTCTATATCATTAGATTAATGTACTTCTCATATTCTCATTTCTACAAAAGTTCTTGAAATACTGATGTAGCTCAGCTGCTTTTAGTATATACATATGATTGATTATAGTTGATAGTTATTTTCCATATAATAAAAGAAATTAGTAATTGAAACCCTTTTGCACATTTCTTGAAGTCAATATATTAATTGATATATATTTTCTAATTTGATGATAGTGGACGTGGATCTATATTATTCGCTTAAGTTTATATTTTTCATATACTTTGCCACATTAGTAGGTGCCCACATTATGAACCTGTAATCACTAGTAATATCTTGTGTTCTACTTTCATTGAATTGAATTTCAATAGTTTTGATGAGATATTAACACGTAGATTCGAAAAGACCATGAGCGTAAGCAGTAGATTTCCGAGGGAGACTCAAATAAACGTCCGAAAGAGATGAAAAAGAATGGCCCAAAGTAGAGTCAAAAGACATATCAAGTCTCCCTTGTTGTAAGAAATTCATCTTCTTTAATTCACTTCGTTGAATACGAAGTGACGTTTCCTGCAAGTTTTGACTACAATGAGTACCTTTTGGTTAAAATGGAGGCTTGGGCATGATTGTTTGCGATTCTATTATGCTATCCAAGTACACAATGCAGAGAAAAAAGTATGGATAGGTTTACAACTTGAGTTTCATGCATCTCATATTGAGCGTAATCGTTTATATTTATTATTATGTTTTCAACATAACTTAAATGTTTAAGTTTAAAAGTTAATTACAGTCTTGAAATTGCATTCAAACCACCGAGAAACAAACCTTCCACATGTATCTATAAGTAATCACAAAAAATTCAGACTCAAAATACCAATCAATCAACTTAAAAGAATGGCTAAAAGTACGACCAATATCATTCTTCAGCTCTTGAATATATTCATTTCCACAGTAGCAGATGTGCATAACCAAAAATCAATATAACGATTATTGTGTAAAGAAATAACTATTCATAAAAAAAATCTCTAAACTTGACTTCCCATTTCTTTCTTTCTTTCTTTCTTTCTTTATTTCAAAGACATTTAATGAAGAAAGATGCTCTTTAAGAAAAAACGGAAGCCCAGCAGTCCTGTGAATGATTATAGAATACCATGACCTTTTGACACACGCTACTCCAAAATTTTACATGATACACAATAAAGTAGCAACCAAATGAACATGAATACCCAAGGCATAGCAGGTAAATGCATGTGGTCTTTTTTCTATCTTTTTCGAAGCAGCTCGGACTCAGACTGGTGTGTACACCTGCTCGAATAACTTGGAAGACTTTGGATATCCTTCACTCATAGAAGGAAAGTGGCACGTTCCATAGTGGGGCTGAGGAGGCGTCCACTTATCAATATCACTTTCATGGGGCGAGAGTAGTGAAGCTTTTATCTTTCCAAGTCTCTCAATGATGATTTTACGTCAGTATGTTAGGATCTGCCCGATAAAGTTGTACATATCGGAGAAGATAAGGCTTTGTTCCAAGTGTGTAGATAGAAGATCATGACTGCCGATGGAAAAAACGCATGTAACGGAGACCGTCTTGGAAATATCTGAATTCTTTAAGGAAAACGTCCATAAAAAGGTATGGATGGCAGAGATCTCAACAACCGTACAGCCAGGGAATCCAAGGCCAGGGATAGGCCCTCCCAAGTACTCAGGTAAATACTTGTCCCCGATGAAGAATGAGTCACTTGCCTGTGGATTAAATTCCGTAGATATACATGTCTGTCCTGAATACTGAAGAGATTTTTCTAGCTCAGCGTATTATCACTCACTTGACCAAGAACAAACTTTTCGTCACCCATCCTTCACAGATACATTCTATCTTTTCTTTTCTGCTGGATGGAGAGAGGCATTTGGAGACTTGTAGTTAAGCCTCAGACATGGGCTGTTGCAGGTAGTAAGTACCCTTGTGGGTCCACATTATATTCTCTAACTGTAATGAAACTAGTAGTTTTTTTGTTTCCGATGTATTTTAGTGCAAAGTAGAATGTCCGATTTCTGCCCATGATGTGGTCATTGTTTATAAGTATGGGCTAAGATTAGTCATTGAACATGTTAACAACTACCGCATGCACCATCCGTCAGTTTCAAAACAGACTTCACTTTATTCATTTATTCTTCCTATGCAAACAAAAAAAAATATAAAATCATACATGTGTTGCTGTTGCACAACCCCCAAACTACTCAGAAAAAATGGTAGCTCTATCAAAGAAGTCCGCCTCAAGACAAGAGTGGCATTCCTCACGCTCTCTTTCTGGTCGAGTGCTATGCATCTCTCCCTCTGGTTATGTCAGGCCCATTCGGAAGATGCCATCGAGACCCTTCCATCGATGCTTCAAATCATTTTTATGCTTCCCTGAAGATGCTATCAAATTGCATCTAAAAAGATCTAAAGAGTTTTGCATCAAGTGGTGGAATATATCCTCAGGCAGCCAGAGATACAAAACATGCTTTGTCTCAGCTCCCGATAAAAGAGTATGTCCTGCTGCGAAAGATCGCTTCTTCCTCCGCAGAAGCTGATCTACGCAACTCCCACCGTCGAGAGACTGTACACTTGTACAGAAGCATATTGTGAATGTGGGCAAGCCAACACTTCAGCGGGCTCCTATGCCACGGATTATATTCTAGTTTCCTATCACTTTTGCTTGTTGGTCCCTTTGACGATCCCAGATGCCACACTCCAGTCGTTGGGCTATTTTTAGTGCAGTCAGGATGAAGATTGACACTCCACACTCCGTTTGCCCTTGTGACGATGGCGCCGTAGTTATATGTGACGTCCACGAGGACACCAGAGTGCGATCCAGTAGACCGCATTTTAATACTACCCGATGCTCATTTTCGCATGATTTATCCATTGTCTTGTTTGGTGAGATCTTTAGACCATTGTGATTGCACATGACCACGTCGTGGTCGTCTAGGTCGATTGTAACATCTCTCAATGCCCAACATGGCAAGCCCAATTGTGACTCAAAGGAAGAGTGTGTACAACTTACAATTTCGCGTGAAGAGTGCTTGATCATGGAGATTCCAGCTCACGGTCGGTAAAAACATCTCACATTATGAACTTTGTTGTGAAATATGAGATGACGCTACATATGTTTGCCTTGTAAATCAAAATATCCATGGTCAACCATTAGTCATGCGTCACATCTTTACTTTGCAATCCAAAGTTTCCTAATTTCTCTTCACCATCTCAGCTACTTTTTTTGCTAAACCATCGGCATGAGATGATACGCTGAAGTGATGCAATATCGATCATTTAAAGCTTAAAATCTAAACAAGAACTCACGAATCGATTTAAAATGCTCCAAATTGAATAAGCAACAGAGCTAATAACACATAAGCTTCTCCCTTGATTTGATTTGTAAAACAAGTAACACATTTACTTCACTCTGAAAATAGTCCCCATGACGAATAGTTATCTAAAAATCATGAGATAACCTATTTTATCATACATTGTTTACTTAATGTATGATATTATATACATTATTTCAACAATGTTAGATTCAAATACGAAGCATCAAACATACTGAATGCACATAACGATTCATTGAAGATATTATTGTGGGTGTATTGATATTGAATCATGTTGAAAAATGAGTAAATCATATAGTATGAATCTTGTCACGTATTATTCCACATAATAATTCTTTTGATGTTTTCAACATTGACTTAAAAACATTTTTCAGTTTTCTCCAAGTATGTTTTTTAATTCAACTTTACTATCAATTTATTTAGATTGAGTAAATGTAATAGAGAAATTGTTGAAATCATAGATTGGAATGTGTGTGCATACAGAAGAATATGTGTATTGTCTTGTGATATGTTCACATTTCTTGTAAGTGGTAAAGTAAGCAAGGATTTGAATATTGTGTTATGATATAATGCGTGGTGAACATTGTTTTTCAGATATGAAGAATATTATTTGGAGTCTAAATAGCAACAACAAAATGTTTAGCTTCTTTGGTTGAAAAAATGTTGAATCAAAACACATCAAAATCATCATGTTCATTTAGTTGATTTCAATGTGATTATTAGAAGATTATCGTAAGTATGAACGAATGGTATGTCACATAATACATTTTGTCAACAGAGCATGAAAGAGTAGTGGATCAGAATCAACCAAACCGAATACCTTGAGAATGTTTTACATAAGTATGGAATGAAGGATGCAAACCATAATGCAACACCCTTCTGTCGCTGTTGTTAAAATCATGAAGTAAATGGAAGATACGAGCATATGTACAAACGCGAATTTTCATTGGCCTAAAAAAAAAGAGGAAACCCCATGGACGAATATTCTACATTGTAGCCCGCTACGAGTTCTGCCTCGGCCTCTGGTAGATCAAAAGGAGCTCGATTAGTTTATTCTAAACAAGAAATAAAAAGCACAAGAAACACAGGAAACAAGGGAGTTAACCCCAGATATGTAGGTTCACTTAAGTTTTCTTCTGTGTGGACCACACGCAACACATCTCTGTCACTAGCAAATTAGAACGTATTTACTAACCATTCAACTGCAACTCAGTGGGCATGTGTCAACATTATGCTCGTGTACCTTTGCGGAAGCAAATAGTAAACTTCAGATACCATAAGTTGGTAGCATAGCGTTCTCATCAACCTTTCAAGTGCTAATTAGGTCTAAAAAAACTACTGAGTGAGGTTGGATTTACTGAACGAGCTCCAAATGATACCAATATTGCTCTTCCACTCACTGATAGACGTGTTTTACCATCCTCTTGCAACGCCTACCTCTTGAAGACAAAGAGAGCACCGTAGTGAGACCGTTGTGCTGTCCAGACAGTGGTGTAGCTACTTGTGTAATTCGTTAATCAGTCCAAGTACAAACAGTGCATTTGAGTAGACAAAGTGATGTGACTGTTAAATCCTTTTGGACCTTTCTTTCCTCCTTGTTACAAAATCATAACTGTATGTGAAACATGTGGCTTCCTAATTTTGTCCAGAGGTAGCTCCCCATTTAGTTCAAGACTCGGTACGCCACGATACGACTAGGTTCAGGTTAAGGCCTCAAGTTCAAGTTTTAGGTGTGAACTCTTTTTATATCAATTGAAGACGAAGGCATAAACTCTGTGTAATGGAAAAAGAAAACAGAGAAGAGTTCATGCATCGGAGGTTTCATATCCGCAAATATAGATTGCATCATTTGACAGCTAAACTGCTTGTAGAATTTAACCCTTTACCTTAAATCCGAGTTAGTATCAATAGCAATGCAACTCTTAAAATTGCAACTCATAGCCTACCAAATGGTGGAAAGGGGGAATCTTAGAGAGGAGAGCCACGGTGTAACTCTACTTTATCTCGACTTTGGCCCATAAATGACTATGGTGCCGAAGTGATTACCCCATCTCGGCATAGCCGAAGTTGAAACACTGAGACATCTCTGTTTGCTGTTCGAAACATAAAAATCCACTTTCAAGCAGAGCAAGGGGGAATTGTACATAGCTATAGATTGGAGAACATAAAAAAGGAGTGGTGGCCAACGGAACAACTACATCAATCAATACAGGATGGATTCACAATATTTACCAGAAAATATATTTCTGAGGAGTTGCCTGTCACAGATGTGTAACACTAACTACTAAGGTATATCATGCTTCTGGTGTCGCCCAAATCCGCTTTTTCAACCGTAACATTACATCAGGAATGAAGTTCAATCATGCAGTGAGGCCTCCGCCGTACACAAAAGATGTTGAACTCTACCTCGGATACGAGCACACAGACACCACTTGAAAACTAAAAAAACTCAAGTGTGGTAGACCCTTTACACAAGCCCTGAGTACAGTACAAGCTCGCAAATCGATCAGATTGAAGTTTATGGTTGGCAACTAAAACGGCCTAACCAGCCCACCGCCATTGATGTGAAGCTAGTACCGTCTTCTCGTAGGGCTCCGGGACCTATGACCACCTCGTGGAGATCTGCATGACATAAACCAGACAGGATGCCGTTCAATGAAAGTCTCTTTCAACATTTAAGACTCACTACAAGACCGTAGACTAAAAGGACAAGCATTAGACAACCACAAAGGACCTTCATTCTGCCTCCGGTTTCGTACTAGTGCCATCACGGTTCACGGCTCACTGCCAATGCCATCTTACCTCTACCTTTCTAACGAAGAGGACATAGTAAGGAGGACTGGACATGCGCTTCTCTTAAAGCTACAGGCTAGGGGAAGCATGAAGTTAGGGCATGCGTACTGTCAAAGTCTCAAAGAGCTGTTCCATGGACAAATATCTTCTTTTCTCTAGTCTATGGCTGCGAGACAGGTTTGAGCTGAGCCTCATATCCTTCAGTTTGTGTCTTCTATGTGCGGTTCGGAGGCTACAGATTTCTGGTCTTCTGAATTATTTTCCCAACATCCATTCAAGCAGCGGCCAGATAAGTTCGTAAGCACGTCTCATTCATACACGACATTAATGCATTGTCCCAAGCATTATCGGCCATTTGAGTCCTTACCGTTGTCTTCGGACGTTGCGTCGGCGAAGAGGACCGCTGCTAAAGGCCCAATTTACAGCGATAATCTGTGTGAGGAGTTCTGCACCATTTAGATTGTCGATGGCAGCCTGAGCTTCTTTCTTTGCCTCATACTCAATAAGCGCATAACCCTGAATTACAACAACATATACTTAAAATACTGATAAATCTGTTGATCATGGAGAAAGAGACAACTTCGAGAACTAAACGAACATTTGCCTAAATCACTCATAAAGACCATTCAAGGCTTTAAAGAGGTAAATTTCACAACGTACTAATATTGGTAACAAGTCACTACGCTCGCTGAAATGAAGTAAAGGTGGTAGAGAGTGCAAGCTAAGGACTATAATTCACCAGTATGCAGTTAACATACTGGTGTCTCCTTTTTTCCCTACGAACCTTGACAAAACCAGTCCTTCGATCAAGGTTGAGGTGCAAGTTCTTGATTTCTCCATACTCAGCGAACAGCTCATGAAGATCATCCTCTTGGGCCTCCTCATGGACTCCCGTTACAAGTATAATCCAACCCTCCACGGCTTTTTGCACGTTAGTCAAGGAGCACAACATTCACAGTCAAAAAGAGAAGGCTCACTTCGAGAATAGTGAAAATCTTGGTATCCCACGACATTTGAACATTCCAAAGAATGCTCTGACTGCCCAACAACAGTATATTCAATTCTCGTGAAGCAGATTCATAGCACATATTAAAATTATCACGTCAGCTAGGCAGGGAAAAACCACGCCTGCAGCGTGAAAAAATTCTGAAGAAATTAAGCGCAAATCAGTCCCATCGATGTACTGCTATACAAGCTTACTAGCTTTACAAATTCAAATCAAATTGCCTGTAAGCCATGCTTATCATGCTTATAGACACAGAAAATCATAGACGTCGAGCATAGGTTCGGCAAATCTCATCCACAAGTGAACTAAAAATTCCGCCTTAGACAAAAGCAAGCCTTAGATGATTAAGCAAGGAACCTCATCGTTGCCATCCAACTAAGACAAAGTCTTCCACCACAGGGTAGAGAAGACAACTAGAAGACATTTCCAATTTCCTGTCTAATGGACTCAAGGCAGGTGAGGGATTTCGACAACGCGGAAAACTATCCGACTTGCAACCTCTTGTTGTTACTACTATTAAAAAAAAGGAATGCAACCAAATGTCACGTTCCTGATTTCCTCTGAAACAACAAAGCTAGAGATGTAATTTAGGGCACAATTAATGCTTCAGTAACATCCGGAGTTAACACTGATAAGGAAGTGACTTCGCATAAGGTTACCGTTGAACACCAATGTTGACGGTTTTAGGGTTATGAACTACAACTGACAAGTTATGAAAACCTACATTTCAACAACCGAATTCGCAAGCATCTAGAAAAGCAGAAACAACGGTCGAACCGTTCATACACGACACAGGATGATTGAAACTAGGATGCCCCTTTAAAGGAAAAAATTCACCAGAGACGTAGAAAAAGACCTACAATGTGCAACACAAGAATGGACGAGGAAGAGGATACAACGCTGAGGACCAGGACCTCCAGCTGAATCGAGAGACTCGAAATCCTTAGCAGCGTATCGATTAGACCGATCCGCGTCCGTCTCCTCTCGAAAACCTCGACCCTTGGTTTTTCTGGCAGCCGCCCCGGGAAGTTGAGAACCTCCAGCACTAGTACTGGTGATGGTCGACTTCAGCTTCGGTTGAGGAGCAGGAGGAGCGTCTGCATCCTCCATTGGCACATCATCGTCCAAAAGATCATCTTCCTCGGGCTCAAAATCCACAGCATCGACCTCCGCGGTCGTCATCCCTTCTTCCTAATCACACGACCAAAAACTGCTCTCAAAAAGCCAACCCGCACAATGCACGCCCGAATTCCAACAATGTGACACAACTTTCCACCGATTCGATGCGTAAAACCAACGATCTTTGATGCACTGTGTGTGCAACCACGCCTCGCGTCGATGGTTCCCTCACTCCCTCGCTCCCTTTCCCTTTCCCTCCGTTTCCCTCGCGCAGACGCAAGCGCAAGCAAGCAAGCAAGCATGCACTCTGTGCCTTCCGGAAACCCTGGGACACTGTGAACCGGTTTCTAATTATCTCTTTTCACACGCCATTATCCGGGTTTCACATCTAAATAAGGGTTCCATTTTATCTAGCAGCGATTTTGCACCTCCGGTCCTGGAAATCTCGTTCTTTTGCCGACTGTTTACATGCGTACCGTTTTCTTTACGTGCCCTCAGTAACGACTACAATTCGTTCTACTTTAGCTGCATTGTCGTTCGCCAGATTTCACCGTCGAATCCGCTGTCAGTGTCTGTATCTTTGTCAAGCGTCTGTAGGCGAATATTGCAAATTATGTTTGATTTAAGTTCTCTAGTTGTTTAGTATTCCCTTGAATCTTTTCGTTTTCTCATGGCTCGACTGGATCTTTCTCCCGCATTATATTTTTCGCCTCTTTGCACCCTATTCTATTTTTTTCTATTATTGAATTTCGCTGTCAAACTCAAATGTCCGTTTATTAGGAGCACGTCATTCTTTTTTATAAATTCAGTATTTTTTTCAGCAATCAGATGATCGGAGTCAATTTTTGCATCTAAACCCGAATCCTTCTTCTCTTCGAATATCTATCAGAAGATAAGAACGCATCGGATTTTATTTTATTTTATTTTTAATTTTTAATTTTGCTCTGGCTTCTAGAGGAAAATTCAAATGAATTTGTGACATCTCATTTAAAAATTTAACATGAGGAAAAAATTTATTTCAAGGAAAATTATTCACATTTCCATGTTTATTATCATTTATAGTTTATTTAAACGTCAAGATCGTGCAAGCATTCAATCTATTCCCTCCTCAAGAAAAACATAAATGTAGAAATCGTTGTATTTAAATTGAACACTTTCCTTTCGTTTTTACGAAGAAACTTATGTCAAAGTAAAATAAATTTTCAAGACTAATAAATCCAAAAATTCAAAATCTTTAACACTATATTTTAAAAAAATCTCTGTAACTGAAATATATTGAATTATTATTATTCTTTATAAAGACAAAAACAAGAAAACAAACATAACAACACATAGTGACACATGATGCCAAGCCATTTCATCTCTACTTCAAGAAACTCAATGATTTTCAACTTTATTTTGAAACTCTATTTATAAGGTTCAGCTTTTTTCATTGTGCTTCTCTTTAGCAACTTATCACAAGGACTGCAAAATAAAATCCAACCACTTGCTAGAGCTCTTTCTTTTGAGGTGCATCTTGATGTCAAAGGCATGCAATGTCATCATCGTAGCCACAAGATTTATATTTGATTATGAATATGATGAACAATCCAACGAGTTGGATGCAATATTACTAGGTATATCATCAATCAAACCCTGAATTCTAATCCAAGGAGTTGGATCTATACTTTAAATACAAACTCACTCAATTAGTCAAGAATAGCTCAGGCAAGGCACTTCATCCAAACATGTTTTGTAATTTTTGACCGATTCATACAAATGACAATTTTTGCCATATTTGATTAAAGTTTTTTTTGACAAATGTGTTGTATATTCAAACTAAAATTTGCCAGTTGTTTATGTTCAATCATGCTTTTTGATTTATTTTTAAGCTAAAATTTGTCATTCGCATGTGCTCTTCTCTAACTGCCACGGGTTAAGCAAGCCATGCTCTCAAACCTTTAATTTTGTCATCAAAATCCTAGCCATTGCAAATGAAGCAAGCCGTACTCTTGAAATGCTAATCTTTGCATCCAAATTGTAGTCATTATGTGACGGATGAAACAAAGGGTACTGTCAAAACTCTAATTTTGACATCAAAATCCTAGCCGTAACAAATGAAACAATTGATACTCTCAAAATCCTAATCTTGATTCCTATTGATTAAATTTAAGATTCTTTAACATAAGCATGAGTTTATCAACATGTTAGCAATTTATACTCTTGGTCTGGAAACATTGATTGTTTAATATCTAGTGATTTGTTTCAATTGCGCTTTGGTAAAAATTCTTGATGAATTTATCTTGTCAATAATAAATTACATCATTTTTTGAAGAGTTTTGCTTGCTTCGACAACGAATGAGATTCTTTGAAACATGATGATGTTTATCATTGAACATATCACATAATCTACTACAATTGTCAATTGTGTAGCAGTTGTTTAAGAAAATATCCATAGTTTATTTGTTCATAGTCGCACCGTGCCTTGAACGATGTAGTGTAACAAATATCAAACATGGATAATGTTTGCGCTACTCTCTATAGCCACTATTTTCACAAAACTCAGCAAATTCTTTATCTTGCAAAATTTAATTGATCATGACATCATCTTTACCGCAACACCTAAATTTGATCATGAATATGATGAACAACTCGACTTAGTGGAGATAATCATACGAGCTATCATAGCAATCAAATCCTAAACCATACTTCAGGAAGTTAGATATGCCCACTGAGTATAAACTCACTCAATTAGTCAAAAAAATTTCATGTGAAACACTTTTCTCCAAATTCATTTTGTAATTTTTTATCAATAAATACAAATGATAATGTTTGACTTTGTGAAACATTGTTTTGATCCATGATTGCAAATGTGAAGTATATTCAAACTAAAATTTGTCATTAACATATGTTCTTCGCGTGTGAAGCAAGCCAATGAGATACAGAATTTTTCTTTGAACTATAAAGTTTATTTCTATAAAATTAAAAAAAAAACATACTATTACAAATCTTCAACTGTTCAATAGTAGATTGATTGATACGGTCTCAGTGGTGACAAACACTTGGCAAATGCTAATTATCCAAGATACTCATAAAAGATTTTAATATTTACAGTTGGTTGGTTTTCACACACCTTCATTTGCTGCAAAGTTTCTAAATGATGAATTTTTCAATGAGTGGTCTACTTTTCATATTTACGATATTCTTAGTCTTAAATTGAAAATAGTTGATGTTATTTTGAGAAAAAAAATTTCTAAAAATTTTGAAAATAATCGTGTGAAGCAAGCTATACTCTCAAAACGTTGATCTTGGCATCAAAATCCTAGCCTGTCGCAAACGAAGCAAGCTGTATTCTCAAAATCCTAATCTTGAAGTGAGAATTATAGCCGTTGCGTGATGAATGAAGCAAGATGTACTCTTGAAATCCTAATCTTGAACTCAAAATCCTAGCTGTCGCATATGAAGCAAGCCGTACTTTCAAAATTCTAATCTTGGCATTAGAATTTTAGACATCTCGTGGCAAAGCAAATTTTCCAATTGTGAAGCAAATTGTCTTCTTGAAAGCTTAATCTTGACGTCAAATTTTAGCCGTAGCGGATAAAGCAAGTCATACTATAAAAATCCTAAACTTGATCCTTACTTAGGATTTTCAAAATTTCCAACACAAACAAGAGTCTAATATCATATAGGTAGTTTGAACTCTTGGCTTGGAATCATAGGTTTTTTGATATCCATAAAGTTGTCTTTATCCATTGTTTGATAAAAATTTTGAATGAAATTATCTTGTCAATCATAGATTACATCATGTTTTGCATGTCTTCATGCAATCTTGTTTGATTTGATTGAGAACAAGACTCTTCAGACCATGAGGACCACAAGAATCTGAGGCATTCCAATTTCTACACAAGTTCCAACGTAAGGAAAGCCATAAGTGAAGAAAGCTAATCCTACTGCAGCGACAATTGAAGCCACCACCAACGGGTTGATTGCCCTACACGTTAGCAGAGTGACAGATGAGTACTTGCCCTCCAAGACAATTCTAAACCATTATTGATATGCAGAAACAAAGATGACGGCGGGTAATCTCCACTAGATGGATCAGATTTATTGCAGATCTATCATGAAAATGTCAAGAAGTTAGCTTTGATCATTAATTGTTTGGCAAATTTTAAACAAATCATCCTTAATTTATTTTTTATTTTAAAAATGTGAAGACATGTTTGTATTGGAATTTATCATCATGTTGGAAATTAGTAAGTTTTGGATTGTTTGACCTCCAGTTGTACCACAGTTGTTTGAAAAAAACATATCTAATTTACTTGTTATTCTAAGATTCTAATATTATGCTTGAGTTTTGTTTTGTTTATGTTTTGTTTCGGTTGAAGTTTTGTCTATGTTTTGTTTCAAGCTTAAGTAATTATTTTTTTCTAAAGTAAATTAGTAATCTTCTTTTTTTTCAATATTATTTGACGTGTAATCAGATTTAAACTTAATGAATTATTGCAATCTTTTTCAAGTCATGCACAAAAAAACAATATTTGATTTGTGCATTATGATATATTAGCAGGTGATTTTTTGTTCAAGTAATAAATGACAAAATGATTGATATGAATCTTTGATGATATAATGTGAATATAAAAATGTTTATTACTAATAAATTTAATTATAAATAGATTATTTCAAGCTAAGCAAGATCAAGTGAGTGAATTAAAAATCAAATTTGTGTTGTCATAAATTTGAATGATGTGATATGACTTGATAAACTATAATGATTTTATTATTTATCCAAATCTGAAATAAGAATCTGATTTCATTATAATTTTGATGAAGCAATTTTAATAAATTTTTTATCCAAAGTATCATTGTTTTATAAAGTTTTTTTAATCTAAGTTTATAAATAAAGTTCAGATTATAATAATTAAAAATATTTAATGTAATTTTAGTCTATCTAGATTATATATTTTTTGTTCGGTTGTAAAACTATTTGATATTATCAATTCTATGAAATTATTTTTATGAATAAATAAATTGTATATAAATAGTAATATATCAAATGTAACGTCATGAAACTATTCATTTTAAGAGATATATCACTTTGATGAAGCTTCAACCCAACGTTATCCATGTTCTCATACGAGTTTTTGTAACATGAGTTTGTGATTTAAAAGTGATGTTCATAGTGTGAACACATGTGATAGTTTTACTCGGAAATTTTAGCAAAAGTCCATTACATTGAGTATGTTTGGAGAATTGAATGTTGCAAGTTAGTTTAGCGTAATAGCTCCCTTGTAACCTGTGGCAATGTTGCATGATCCATGAGCATGGAATATGCGAATATCACTTCTAGTAGTTCGAATTGACTTGTTGTTTCGACACAAGTGTTTGCAGGCAATGTTTTTTTTTACCCATTGTATTATTATCTACTGTTGAGTGGGGTTCGATTTGAAAAACATGGACGTTGAACCTGGGAGCAAAGCATTTACAAAAATTTGAAGGTGGCGTCGGATTGCAAGATTGTCTAGGAGTTTTCATTAGATAAAATGAATCTTATGGGATCTCTGCAAGTGTTTTGCATTTCTAAGGAGTACCATGAAGAAATTTTCTCTAGACCTATAGATGTTATAGATAGTACAATTTTTTAAACTATTCTTTGAATCATATGTATCCTTAGGTGTAATTTTTGACATGCAAATTTTTTATATTGCAATGAAAATGTGATAGAAAATAAATCAAAAATAGATTATCATTTGATAGAAATATTATAATATGTCATTTTTTTGAACATTAAAGATGATTATAAATTTCAAATACTTGATGTAAATGTTAATTTTGCCACATATCATTCATATCTTTTATCTAGAAGATTTATGATACCAAATTCAAACTTCTGTTTATTCATGTTCAAAGGTGTTTTGTTAGAGATTTTTCAATTTAAACAAGAAATAATTATATGCAGAACATTCATGATGTCAAAAATACATTTCTTTCCATTCAAAGCTTGATACTTGAATGCTAAAATAAAACTTTTGAAATTAATAATTTATATTAAATAATAATTTCAACTAGAATCATCAATAGTATGCACATTTTTTATCATAAAAATTTTTAAAATGTCAAGAAGCAAAATTTTTCAATATATGTATATGATGTTTTAAAAACTCATTTTTTTTTGTTGATTGCTTGTAATGAAAATTCAAGCTTTCAAAACATCTACAAAGATATTATGATCGTTAATGAGAGATAGACAATTTCATTTTGCGCTTGAAAGCTCAAATGTTTTTTCATCACTAGCTACTATCTATCATTGCTTAAACATCTCAATTCGAAATTAGTGCTTCAAAGATTTAATGTGAAAAAATTTCTTGAGCAATAAAACTCACGGCTTTGACGAAACTCATTGTAGTTTTAATGGAAATGTTAATTCTAACGTAAATGATATATTTGCACACACTTACATAATTAGGTATGATCTAATGTAAGTAGTAGAATATTGCATCCAATATTTGTGCAGTGCATACCGAACATCTTAACCACTATGCATGAATGACGTCTCAAACATGTTCACACTGCATTTCATATATAGATATTGATTGATGATGCTTATCTAAACCGCTTTTGGCATCCAAATTGAAGACATGAAAGTAGAAGTTAATCAATCTGTAATTGGAAAAAATTAGAAAAACCCAGCTTTAATGGTTGATGATCAATCCTCACGGTCCAGAATTATTGCTAAAGTACGTTCATTACTTAATATGTTATATGACGAACAAATGGAGCTACAAAGATTTCTTACCAAACATGTTGCAGTCGTACATGAATGTACCTTCCTTGAGCTCTTTCTATTCAAGTTTTGGATCAATCAATCGCGTCAAGGTAAGCTTGAATGCAGTTTGTTTTTACGAGCAAACCCAACGGGTAGGCTACCTTTGTACGGCCTTTATACAAATTACTTTATTTTTCTGACTACATCACAGCATAGAAAGTTGAGAAGACAATACAAATAATTGATCTAGAGATTTTTTGAAAGCAGCAATCGTTCATTCTCGGATAAAAGACAAAGACTTGGCACCAATACTAAGATATGAAGAAATCAGAAGCCGGGAATTTCTTTTGTTTGCTAGACCATTCTTTTCAGTTCTACTCATCCACCATGTTGACTTATTCAACTCTGCAGTGTAAGCCAGCATTTCCTTCATGAATTTCCCAATTCCATAAGAGTAAAACATGTGTGTCCACGCAACAGTGAGAAGTCAAAACTTTTACAGATATTGTTACGATCGCCGCGATCCTCCTCGTGGTTCGTTTGGGACTGTGCAGATGCTGTTCCTAAACCTGCATACTTTCTACATTTTCCTGTAGTTCTTTATCAGACATCATTGACACCGAAGACGAGACGGTGGTTCGTGGTAGATCGGAGACTGGGGTCAGATAGTGAAGCAGGAGGGTGGTGGTGGTGGGAATCTCGTCTCTCCGCTTCTGTGGAGCTGTGCGACTCAAGACGGCGGCTAACATGCCTCAGTCAACCAGAAACAAGCGTTGCATAAACCGATGCAAGGTCTTCATCTGTGGGGAGACAACTTCGGACTCTGTGTATCAACCTACTGGACCGTTTGTTTGTCAAGAAAAGACTCTTCACAGAGTCTCCTTCACGTGTGAGAATTAAATGGGTAAAGTAACTCTAATCAAGTGGACCGTGCTCGGGATGTGATGGCTGTGACAAATAGCTTTTCCATGGGTTATAAGCTTTTCAATATAATACATACATTCTATTGTTTTTGAATTTTTTGTTTTTAAAATATTGTTGAAGATGTAAGATGAAATGCAAGGAATCAATCACAATCTCACGCGTACGCAACATCGTGAACAATCACCGGGTGACGCTTAGATCGACACTTCGAGTGGACAGGCCAACCGTGATGTATCAGAGATTTGACTCACACGAATTCAGTCAATCCGTCAAAACGTGGAAGTAAAATAAACTTCAATTTACGTTATAGGGTAGGGGAGTTGGACCCAGATAAAGCTAGTCATCGAGAGAGAGAACTTAGTGAGAAATCACAACGTGTTGGAGTCGGATTCACAAAAAGAGCCTGGTGGCTCTGGCCGTAAATTTGGGAGCTGTAATGCTTGTGACTGACGGAGGGAATGTTGTCATAAGCTGTGTGAGGATATATATATACCTATGGAAATTTCCGGAGTGTCTAGACGAGCCCTCTGTTTTGGCATTGATCAATCAAATTTCATCGATCATTGTTCATCAATTGTATGAGTAATTAGCTGACGTCAACTCCAAAGAAACAGAGGAAGTTTAGATACTCGCTCTTCATCATTATTTTCGTCCACTCCCAGCTCATGTTGCTGGGTCGTGTTCGTCGCCGTGCGGACAGGTTGCTGGGAGGAGTACAGTACACATCCTTGGAGGTCTCCCGTCCAAAGCTTGCGGAATTGTGTACCGTCGGGACTGAAGGCCATTATTAGTCCTCGATGGAAAGATCAACAACAAGCTTTTAGAACTTTGATTCGTGACCAATGACTGCCGGCGTAGAAAGATGACACGAGAGGAGTTTTCGAGGTCGCAGTCGGGAACAGACGTTCCTACAGGGTTAAGGTCGTTTGGTGAAGACATATGAAGCACCTTGGTTGCCGTCTCACCTCTTCATTATTGGCCGCATGTACAAGGACTTGAGGGCCTCCGTGCTGTCTGTCACTATGTACATTGACCTTGTCCTCCGCTTTGTGAATGTGTGTAGAGTCGGTCGTTTCAGAACAGTAATACAGAGCCAATAAGACCGACATCAGAAGTACTGTGGTTTGACATAACTCTAAACTCGATGGACTCTGTTTCAGTGTGGCATTTCTAAAATGAATGTGTTCAACATCCTCATCATGAATCCGATGCAGGAAAGAGAATGTGTTAAGCAGAACGTGTGTCATGAGTCCCGATTCCATTCACTTCACTTCACAGCAGAGCAGCAGCGGCAGCTCTGCTCACAAATGCTATTTCTGCACTTCATGGGGTTCACGATGTCATCCGGGAAAACAAATTCACAGAGTTCAGTCGACAGCAATGGGTGACGCATTTGAGTTTCACCATAATTAAATTGAAATCATTGTCATCGTCTGGGTGGGTGGGGGCTCACTTATGTATACAATCTCTGAAAAAGGGTTGTACTCCAACCAAAACATGGAAGGGCTGTCATACAACCTAGCCGTTAAAGTACCGAACAAGTGCTAGAGTACAGTGGCATGCTTTGGCTTACCGACAGCGGGGCGAAGAAATGCCCTCCTCGTCATATAGTACAACGCTGGGGTTTCTGGAGGGACACTGCCTTTCGAGAAGCTCGAGCATTCGGACGACCTGGTTCATGTGGGGACGCTTGGACGGACACGGATGACAGCACAAGCCTGCAATTCGCATGAACTCGACCATCTGATCGTTGCAGGAGTAAGCCATGGCCTTGTCCAGAGCTTCGTCCCTCCATGCCATATCCTGAATGTAAATAGCCACATGCGCCATGTCCTTCTTTTTGTAGAAAGGATCAGTCGGTCTTTTGCCTGTGATTATTTCTAGCAACACTACACCAAAACTATACACATCCCCTTTCAAGGTCGCTGCGGTTGCCTGACTGTATTCTGGGGGGATGTACCCCGCCGTGCCTGCGAGCTCTGTGCTCACATGGCTCTCGAAACCTTTGGTGGATCGCGCCAGGCCAAAATCTGCAAGCCTCGATTCGAATTCACCGTCCAGGAGAATGTTGCTGACCTTGATGTCCCGATGAATGATGGCCGGTATGCAATCGTGGTGCAAAAAGGCCAAGCCCTCAGCTGCTCCTCGGGCGATCTTCAAGCGCGTTCTCCAGTCCAGACCGGGAACGCCTTCGTCTCTGCAGTGCAGCCAACTGTCGAGGCTGCCGTGCTTTAGGTACTCGTAGACGAGAATTCTCTCTCGTCCGTAAGAGCAATAGCCGAGCAGGCAGACGAGATTCTTGTGTTTGATCTTGCCGAGGGTGCGCATCTCTGCCAGAAACTCGCTTTGCCCTTGCATTCCGTCTTCCACCAGCTTCTTCACGGCAACCATCACTCCGTTGTTGAGCACAGCTTTGTACACCAACCCGAACCCGCCGTCCCCGATGATGTTGTTGTCGTTGTAGTTCTCGGTTGCGATGGCCAGCTCCTTGTGAGTTATCCTCATCGGGAGAAACGAGGAGATGGTGACTTGAAGAAATTGAAGCTCATCGTTGTCGAACAGATCACAGGAATGAGAGACCAAACAGCTGTTCCGCCGCCTGCATCGCCCTATGCAACTCCAAGCAACCAGAGACGCAATAAAAATGAAGGCGGTCATGGCGCCAGCACCGACGATGTAGAGCGGGAGAAATTTCTTGTCCAGATCTCCACCGCTTTCTGCATAGGCAGGGGAGCTCGAAGGCAAATATGACGCTGTACACTCGGGCATGGGATAGCCACAAAGATGCGGATTCCCAGAGAAGGAGTCGTTGCTGAAGGTGGAAAACTGGTATCCCTGAGGAATTGGACCACTCAGATCATTGTTGGAAACATTAAAAATGGAGAGGAAAGTGAGATTAGTAAGTTCTTCTGGGATGGGACCGCTCAAGGAATTATTCGCCAGTTTGAGCAGGAAAAGAGCAGTGGCATTTCCGAGAGCCGGTGGGATCGGCCCTGAAAAGAAGTTGTTGCTCAGATCCAGCTCTTGCATATTCCGGAGCTCCCCAAACCCCGGAGGTATCTCCCCTGTGAACTGATTCGAAGACAACAAGATCAAGGTGGGAGATTCCTCAGCTTTCCACGTGAGAATCTGATTCATTATCTGCTGGTCGTAAGTGGTCATTCTCATCTCTTCGGGCACTAATTGCTTGAGCGTGCGATTTACATTCTTCAGGGCGTAAAGCCCGCTATAATCACCGGGGAGATCGCCAGAGAGAAAATTGAAAGACAGGTCTAAAATCTGGAGTGAAGAGAAATTGCCGATGCAATCCGGTAGAGAATCTGTTAATCCGTTGTTATTCAGCAGCAGAATCCTGACTCGCGACAACTCACAAATCTCCTTTGGTATCGATCCTCGGAGTAAGTTGAAGCTGAAGTCCAACACCACTAGATTCGATAGCTTGCGTACCTCCGGTGAAATGGTCGCATTCAATTTGTTGTCAAACAGTGACAGAACCACCAGATTCCGAAGGTGGTAGAGTTCCACTGGGATAGAACCGTTGAAAGTATTCTGATTAAGCCAGAGACTCCGCAATTTGGCGCAGTTGCCGAGAGTGGTAGGAATCTCTCCGGTGAGCTTGTTCTTGCCCAGTATTAGAGTAGACAGATTGCTGAGCTGCCCCAACTCTCGAGGGATCTGCCCTGTCAGAGAATTGTTCTGCAGGTTCAGTGTTCTCAACCGAGATAACCCACCTAGAGACGTCGGCACGTGTCCTGTGAAGTTGTTCGACTTCAGCTCCAAGATCTCTAAGTTCGTAAGATTGCCCAAATTCTCGGGAACAGAGCCACTCAAATTGTTGCCACTGAGAATTAGATTCCGAAGAGACCTGAACTGTCCTAGATCAGTGGATACTAGCAGCTCTCCCACGATCAGGTTGGAACTGACATCCAAAATCTCAAGGTTAGAAAGGCTAGTGAATACATCCAGAGGTAGTCGTCCGGAAAACTCATTTTCACCGAGATTTAGCTCCTTCAGCTCCGAACACTTGCTCAGGGAAGGGGGAATGCTCCCGGTGAGCTTGTTCTTGCCCAATATTAGAGTAGACAGATTGCTGAGCTGCCCCAACTCTCGAGGGATCTGCCCTGTCAGAGAATTGTTCTGCAGGTTTAGCTCCTTCAGCTCCGAACACTTGCTAAGGGAAGGGGGAATGCTCCCGTCAAACCCATTTCCATTGAGCAGAAGAGTGGTGAGATTGACAAGCGCACTGATCTCGCGAGGTAAGGCTCCTGTAAAGTTGTTGCCAGACAAGTCCAAAACCTGCAGAGAGGATAGCACCTCGAGTAAGGAACTGGGAATTCCGTCGGAAAACTTGTTGTTGGCCAAGCTCAGATTCTGCAGATTTCGCAGCGATTCCAGGACCAGCTGAGTCGAGACATTGGCGGACGCCTCGCATTGAACTTCTTTGGGAAGACTCCCTTGGATGCTGTTGCCGCTTAGATTCAACGATTTCAGACTCGGGCATATTCTCCAGGGGGATGGAAGTGATCCACTGAAGTTATTGAAAGATACATCGAGCTCAGACATACGAAGGAGCTTCTGTTGGAAAAGTGGTTGGATATCTCCCTGCAGTTCAAAGCCATGGAGCTGCAGCTTCTCGACGTACATGCGGCCATCGTCGGGCAGGTGCCACACGACACCGGACCAGTTGGCAGGAGGATTGCTGGTCTTCCAGTTTAGCGGACTCCCCGGGCCTTTATTCTCCAACGCGTCCTGGAATTGGAGCAGAGCGCATCGATCATCGTCGTACGGACAAGCGTTATCTGGTTGGGGAGATTGCGCGACCGAAGTGGAGGCTCGAAAGAACGTGGACAGGAGAAGGATCAACCACACATAAATAACTGAACATCCGGATCCATCTCGCATGGTCAACGTCCCTTTGGAGCCTCACAATGCGAGGACACCCACGCTACCACCAGCTCTACGCAGCCCTGCAACAAAACTTTTTGCCGTCGTCGATGAAAACCACCTGGGTCAGTCTCCTGGTAGTTGCAACGTCACAACACTCCCCCGGCTTCAAATCAGCTGCAGACTGACCGTGACACTGTGTGGGGCAGATCGTCGCCGGCTCCTCTTGCCTATATCTCATCTCACAGCTCACTTGCGGTTTCATAATTCCAATAATTGCAACCTCCAACTACATAGAACATGAAAACCTTTGATTCCACATGCTGACTTCCCCCGCGCTCTCATGCAAGTGAACGTATCCGGCGTGCGATTCTCTGCATCTCGACCTCCCCCGAGCTTTCCAGCCCATGTCCGTCTGTTCGAGTCCTCCTGGCTTCTGCTAATGACCAAAGCTTAGGAACATCCCCGATGGCCGCAACGAGCTAAACGCACACATCACAGGACTGTGATACTTTTGCCGCACTCCAGAACCTTCTCTAGACTCCCCGTAACTCGGCCGCATACGAGATCCTGTGTTCCCAACAGCTCAAGAGCTCAACGCCATGAGCCTCTCACCAGTCAATTGAAAACGCACTGACCAGAACTCAGCATTCAACAACCCTATTATCAATCCTCCTCCGCCTTTCCCGCTTTCCGCCTGTCGCCCTCACTCCTCTTCCTTCCTCTGCTCGTCTCGTCTCGACTCGACTCCTCCTCTGCTCCTCTCGCCTCGTCTCCTCTCCTCTCGTCTCCTCTCCTCGACGCAACGCCACAGCTCTCAGACTTTCGAGATCGTACGTCTTGACCACCGATAGCACGCGAGGCGGAGAGGACGCTAGGAAACTCTGCCTGCCTGCCTCTCTCTCTCTCTCTGCTCTCCCTCTCTCGACGTAAAGGGTCTGTCCAAGAAGCATAACTCACGTACAGTCAGTCCAACCTGCCTAAATGTTTCTAAATTTTCTAACATATATAGTCTGTACACCACAACGCAGGTACGCAGTTCGCAGAAACTCTGCAATACTTCCGGAAACAGATTTAAATATTGAAATGGAAATCGTGTTAGATTTAGCATCTAATGAAGAGGTCTGGTGCAGAACATTACATTAGCAAGGTATCCGGGGCATAAGAGCCGCGGTGGTTATTCCCGGGGACAGACGAGATACGGCGGTTCGGACGGTTAGGAGGGTAACGTTTAGGGAGGGATGTCGGGTACCGAGGAGCGCTGCTCGTCCGAAAAGAGTCCCGAGAAAAGTCAATGGTCTTCGCAATTTGTTACTCAGCAGGACATCACCAGAAAGAAAGACGACAGGAAAAGTCAATGGGCTTCGCTCCTTCTTACAGCATCTACCGCAGCAGCAGGAGCTTTGAGAGACACGTCAACGCTTAACTTAAGGGCCCTTCTTCAAGGTACGTCGTCGGGTCGGGTCGGGGGAGAGCTGTTCCACCGGATCTCCCTCTGGTCCAGCAGTCAATCTCGAAAAGGAAACTTCTGCCCGTCCGCGCCTGCCTGCCCCTATTCGCCCCCGGGCGCTGTTCTTTTCGAATTCTAACCCTCACGCTAACCCTGTGGTGGAACTCCGCGGCCAGTCGGCCACGCCACATCCATCCCCTGCAGCTCCGCAACGGCCGTCCGTCCGCCCGTCGAGGCCGCCCCCTGCCGCGCCTCCTATGAGAAGCCTCCGGCGGGGAATCCACCGACGACGGTCGACGTGCACCGTCCGCCGTCCGGGGCAGGAGACGTGAAGAGGTGGTGGCTATGGCGTAAAAAAGAATTAGGTCTGGAGGGAGCTCGCACCGAGGAGCTCACCTGTCGTCGAACTTCCTCGGGGCCTGGCCTCGGCCAATTGATTGCCCGCTTGTCTCAGAGTGCGTCGTAATGCGAATCGAGATGTGATTCCAGAGATTTGGTACGTGATTCCAACTCTGTCCTGTCAGACTGGTGCGAGTTTCGTTGACTCCAGTCATTCTTACCCCGCCATCGTCTGGTGGAGGCGCACTCGGCAATGGCGGGGGGTGATCACCTAAGCAGCTACATGCTGCCTCTACTACTGGCGCCTCTACTTCTAGTCCTTGTGCTTGCCGCGGACCCTGCTCTGTAAAGGTGTGATCATTGCCAACCCCCTGTTTCCGAGGTGGGGTAGAGGTTCCATCTTTCGAAAGCAAAAGTTGACCCTTCCATTTGCTCCATTCCGTTTCTTCTTGTTACTGTTTCCAGCACCTGGTTAAAAGTCAAATCTCGCCCACACCATTACGATGCTCTTCCCTATACAGTACTGAACATTCAAAGCTACTGCGGTTCCGGGATCCTCTGTGCTCTTCGGAGTCCAATTTGAACGCCCTGTTGTTTAGATTGAGCTCACGGAATTATAGCGCTTCCCTCTCCCTTCCTTCAGCTGTAAGGTGAACCCGACGCTCTTCAATAGAATCTGGGGTTGTGAAATCGACCCTCGTCAGTGACTAATGTCCATTACTCAAAGTTCTACAAGATTATACATTCGCTATCCGAGTTCGTTTTACAGCATGATATAAAACCGTTTCCTTGACAAGACACGCTCTACATCGAGATAAGCAGCATTCCATGGCTCAACACTTCTATGACATTATTCATCATTAGGTGATTTCCGAGGTTTTCGACGAACGGCAGTCCCAACAAGAGAGAAGGACTAATGCCCAACCCATTGACACTTTATCTCTGTCTGGTGAATGCGTTCAGTCAAAAACCTGATGTCTTAGCTCGCTTGAGCGACGGCCCTGAACCCATGTGCAATGGTCTAAGTGTGTCTTCTATCTCTTTGTGCACGTGTATGCTTTCGCCAAGATCTAAGGACAATGTCAATGAGGACATATCCACAAAAACCGTATCTCCTGTCTATCTCTTCAGTTATTGTGACATGCATACTGTATACTGTGTGAACATCTAGTCGACACATATAGTAGCAAAGCCACCTTAAGCTAAAAGATGGTTCACACACGGCTGAAGATATTGTATGTGATGTTTGGTACTTCAAATGGAACCAGGCATTGAACGAATACATACGATGTAACTTAAATAAAATAAAAGAGGTGTTCTTTTTTGGGTTTCATACTGTATTTCAGAATATGATTTGAAGATATTGTAAGATGTTTTGTTTAGAAGCTCAAACGGAACCTTTTATTTTAATGAGTCTATATGGAAAAAAGTTTTGTAATGAGAAAACAGTGTAAAGATTTCGGTTTCATTATTTTATTTCTGAATATGCCTCTGCGAACCTCTCTTATACACGTATCTAAACACGATGGAAAGCATGGAAAGACCATGTTTTGATATATCAGGAGTTTCTAGAATTTGAAGATATACGCACCTCTAGATTCAGTTCCCAAGGAGAATCGATATCGTGTTTGATCACGAGCATCCAGGCAAAATATATGTGGAAGCTTCCATACAATCAACCACGAGGTACGATATGTAAGAGGCAGAAACCATTTGACCAAATGGTTCAGTCTAGTTAGCCGAGGGAAGACCTCCATCAAAGACCGATCCTTACATTGAGCAGAGCGCAGAATCTGAAGACTTTTTCAGGAACTGACAGCACGTAGAGTGAGCTCACGTTGGCGAAACTTGACAAATTCTCGCTCGAAGTCATGTTCCGCACTACAGCAGACGATGGCCACCCTAGGACGAATAGAATAAACTCGGTTGACCACCGACTACTCGCCTTCCCTCTTCCTTCCTTCCTTGTGTCTGGAGTACCGTATCGGACCCGTCGCTCTTCTGCTTCCGTTGTGTGAAGTCGCAATCATCTGCATGTGGTGCCTCCCTTTGTTTCTTTGGTGCCTTTGCATCCACGTTGTTTCTCCCCGGTTAAGCACGAGGTTGATCGACCTCTGATCTAGCAGAAGGAGGCTCTAACAGCAGCCGTTGACTGTGAGAGCGTAACGGCAATCAGTGAAGAAAGAGATCCCATAAAGCCTGTTACCTAAATTCGGTGAACAGATCATGGGTGGACATGTGTGGTACCGTCACTGAATATTTCCCTCTTGCAGCAGGACAAGGGCAGGCAGGCAGGCAGGCCGGCCGGCCTCGGGACCCTGGCTTTTAGATATTTCCAAGTGACGAAAGTGGCTTATTTCTTCCAATCCATAAATCGAAAGAGGTACAGCTTAATTGTGTACATATATGACCAGGCCCCAAAGTACATTTGGTTATGTCGTGTTGTCCTCGGATTATTACATGGGCTTTCACATCTAAGGCCTTCGGGCAGCATTGGATGCATGTCTGCGGCAATCAATGTGGCAAATGTCACGTTGAGCCTGAATGCGAGGTGAATGTGCATGCATGGACAAGTGGTCTATGCCCATTAATCATCGTCCGGTTACCTAGAGTACGACCATAATGTGTCCTGCGGCCAGTAGACGATGACATATATTTCTCCACCATGGTCAGACGTTGTACATACAGAAATCAAATATGCAGGAAGTAATTAACCACCTTTTAATTATCATTTCTTCTAGCCTTTGACAAAACATTGATTCGTGATTCATCGTCTCAAGGCTTGTTGGAATGAAGGTGACATGTTCGGTCAAGATCCACTGGACGCCGGACGATATGGGCATGGTCTCTCGGAGACTAACCATACCGACAAAAATGACTACCTCGGCCACCGCATACCGTGAAGAAAGTCCAAAGGAATCACAGAAGGAAAAGGACAAATGAGAAAAAAGGATGAGAGAAGTGGTGACCTGCTTTTGAACCAGTCCCAAAGATCTTCCCATTGTGACCCACAGAATGGACAGTTGTTTCCAAACCATATTTGGAGCAAAGAAGACCCACTTCCAGCAGTGAAAAGGACGCGACAAAAATACAGAACATGCATATCACTGTCACAAGATCGACCCGAACAATGTTTTCAAAGAAAATCACATCTGACAGACTGCTACCGACTGACACCCGATTTCCCCACCCGATTCCCCATGAGATGCTGAACTTTACAACTTGGGGACACGGACCGAATGCAGCTGCCTCGATGGAGCCTAAAGTACTTGGAGGCAGAGTTGACCCCGGGATAGTAACACAACCGTATAGCTGTCTCTGGCTTACTTGCCAGGGCGGAAGAAGCTACTTGCGCTACGGTGTTAATTTAACGCGTAAGCTGGAGGATTGCTGTAGATCAGCACGGACACTCGACGATTCAAGGCAGACTCCACGAAAGTAACTGGGGAATCCATACGTACACTCTTACACTCGATTGCTTTTGTGCCCCGGGTAGACTGATCTGTCCGTTCTATGACTTGTACACTTTCGTCACATACTCCTCGAGACCACCTGCGACAGCGAAAGAATTTCCTTTTCCTCTCACTTCTCTTCTCTTCTCTTCTCTTCTGTTCTCTCTTTTAACCGTTCTACGAATTGTTCTACCGGAGAGATTTCCCGTCCCTCCCTCCCTCGCGCAGCCCTTTAGATGCACAACTGTTGGGTCAAAAGGCCTTTGCATGCAAAATTCTTTGTGAACAACAATCTCCTCACGGCATTTCACATGGTGAAGACTTCTTGTCCATAAAAAGCTGGAGTATATTCATGGAGGTACATGATACATGGTGTAAAAGCATGGCGTCAGGAGTGTTTTTTTCCTACAAGCAAAGTACAAAGCTAGAGCATGACAGTATAACGATAGCAGTCTTTGTTGATTCCGTTCCTCTTCAGGTCAAAAAAAGCCAGATGCTCAAATGCTAGTCACTTGCATTGCAAATCAGGTTAGCAGAATATCAAGGTCACCTCGAGGTACAACAGGTTCATCGTCATCATCCCTCCCAGTCAGTCGTAGGCGCCAGCTTTTCACCGAGGAGGTAAACCCGGAGTCTTGTAGGCCTCCTCCTCCTCGTCTATCGTATCTCCCCATCTGACTTTGTGTGGATAATGTACATACCCATCGCAAGTCGGATAGATGGCACT